CGAAGACCTGCCTGCTATAAAACTACATTTTACCTTTGTGTGCATCTAAAAATTATGTTCTATTAGGCTTGGGTTTGCGATTATAGAAAGGAATGATGTGTCTTTTTTAAAAAAACGTAGTCATCATTTGACAAGAGTTCACTCTGATCCCACTTAAGATAGTTGCTAAGGAGATACTAGATGCCCTTTTAGAAGGAACAGAGATCCAGGAGGTAAAGAGCTAAGGTGAAGAGAAGGAAGTGAGAGGCCAACCACCTCTTCTCCGGGAGAAAAAAAGAAATCACAGCATTTCTTGCTGATGTGCTCTTTTTTTGCCAGAGATCTTTCTCTTACTAGTTGAACCAAATGATGGAAAGCAAATATTTCCGATTAAATCAGAAGTTGTCAGTGGTTTTTGGATTCCTTCTGTCCAACAATAACAGATCTTGAACAGTCACTACATTTGGGATCCTAAAACAATTGTAATTCTAGGGTCAAGGGTAGTTGAAATGGGGTTGGATTCAATAGTGATTGAAAATCGCTTTGGAATGCACACCAATTGAACTGTTCTAATTTTAATTTAAAATTTAAAAATATAATTATAAGGAAATGGTCGTGTAAAGTTGCATGGTATGGATAAGAGTAGAGGCATATCAACCTGCACTGATAGCCCTTAAGGATCCTTGATTTTGTGGTGGCAGAGGGGCATGTGAGGTGGTATGAGTGGGTGTGTGCTTGAGTGTGGTTGGTATGTGTATGGTATGTATAAGTTTAAGTGAGTCTTTGTGTGATGTGTGTGTGTGTGTGTGTGTGTGTGTGTGTGTAAACTTCACTCAGAAGTAACTCCTGAGCAGAGTCTTGAGGGAAGAGCAATATACGTGGCTAAATCACATTTGGTCATTAAGGTCAAGAGGTATCATCGTGTCACCTGTCATAGTTTGGCACATCCTTGAAGGTAGAAACATGAATCTGGAACCTCTCCAAGTTCCTCCAGTTTTGATGACTTCATGGTCTTAACTCTAGATTTAATTATCTGCAGTCCATAAAGGCTACAACACTGAAAGCTAAATAATACTTTTTGTATGCTTTCCTTTCAAATGTCTGATCTCTGTAGATCACCTTTCTGTGTCAGAGGAAACCATGTTGACACGCACAGTAAGAGTGAAGCATCACCAGGAGCTTCCCTGCTGCTACCCACTGAGGAGAGTAAGCACTGAGACACTGATGGGCATCAAGGCCCGGCCCACTGGGAGCGCTTGCACAGGGCTCCCTCACTGTGGGCTAGGATGAAAACACACATTCTGACCCCGGTAGGCATCAGGCATCTAAGAAACTTAACTGCTGTATTGTGAGGTGATTTTTGTCCCTCAGTCCCCAGTACCTGTCTTGTTCTGAGTGCCATCACTGGAGGTCTGGCACAGCGCCACAGTGCCCCATGCTGCTTTTCTCAGTAAACTCATATATTTGCAGTTTACAAAATCATCAGTTCATGCCATAGTCCATTTGGATAACTATAACAAAATTACCACAGACTGGGTAACTTAAAACAAACATTTGTTTTTCAGTCTGGATGCTGGGAAGTCCAAGATCAAGGTGATAGGGGCTAGGGAGTAAGGGAGGACACCTTACCTAGTACAGGAACCTGCACATACACACCTAGCACAGGCTGCATGTACACCCTATATGACGAATGATGTGTGTTTAGTTCTTGATTTGAACTGAGATTCCTGCCCTGATGATGCCCCTCTTCCTCCCTCTCCCCTTGCACTTTTTATCTACCTATACATAATCCATTTGTGTAAACTGCTAGACTGTGGCAGGTGGATTAGCTAAAGTGTTGGATATCAATAAGGACCGACCCAAGGAAGAAATTATCCCCAGCATTGACTCGAACACACCCCTCAAAGAAATATCCAAGTTCAGTAAAGATAGGTAAGTGGACTCCAGTGAAAGATGGGGAGCAGGGAACTGGGACTGATGTTGGAGACTCAAATTCTGGGGTCTTTGAAATCATATACCCAGTTGAGAGGATAATAACCTTTGGCAATAGCAGCCCAACAGGAGCAGTTTCAAAGACTGGTTCTACTTCATATTTTTATGAAGACCACCTTTTCCCTGTAAGCCCCCCAAAAAACTTAGACTTGTTCTATCATGAGGTCAGTGGAGGACTAAAGCTTCTACAAATAAGTCTCTCCCCTTTTTTGATGTCATTTTGGTTATCATGATAATTAGAGGTGTGACCAAACAGCAAGGAAACCCCAACTTCAAAGAATTTAGTTAAGGTTTGTGGCTTGTAATAATACGGTCACCAAGATGATCAATGATCCCTGTTTCAGAGTATGAAGCTCACTCTCATATAGAGCAGGACTGGCCTGTGTAGCCATGAGGACTGTGCAGAAATGATGGAATGAAATGTCCTAGGCTAGGTCATAAAAGACGCTGCAGCTCCTGCCTTTCCCTCTTGCTAAGATTACTAGCTATGGGGAAAGCCAGCAGTCATAGTTATGAGGACACTTAGGAAGCCTATGGAGAAGCCCATCTGAGTCGGAGCTGAGGGCTCCTGTGAATGGCCTTCATCACATGAGTGAACCATCAGAGAAGGGGATCCTCTAGTCCCAGGCAAGCTCAAATGACTGCAACTCAGCTGACATCTTGAACCCTTGACTGTGATGTCATGGGAGACCCCAAGTGAGAATCACCCATGGTTTCACGCATATGCCTGCCAGCTAGTGCTTGTTATTGGCTAAGACTTTTTGGTTTATACTTTTCTAGGCTCATGATGAGAAAATGGAAGCTACAATGCCTTTTTAAAGTCAGCTTAGAAATTCAGTCATAGGGTTAGTCCAGGTTCAAGGAGAGGGGAAAATCCACCTCTCCATGGGAGGAGTGTCAAAGTCACACCTCGACATGGCCTGCAGCTTGAGAACTATGGTTTCACTGTGACTATCTCTGGAAACATCTATGCCTCAATTTGAATTCTTTTAGGAAATCTGATCAAGCCTCTAGTTCTCACTTACGAGTTCTTTCCCTATTCCATAACTGTAGATGTTAGAAATGCCTTTATAAAATCTGTCTTCCCTACAGTCATACCCATTTTCTCTCATATCCTTTAATATGGCACAGAATAAGTCTATACTTATACTACTTTATACCAAAAGACTGAAATAGCTAAATATCTATTTGTACTATTTATAACATTCGAGTAAATTCTTTTAATAGAGTCTGCATCAGTAGTTTGGCCTCAAACTTTTCCACCCTAACCATCAGCTTACCATGGGAAGAACCTTCCTTCCACTGCATCATATTTCCTGGCTATTCTTCTTCTCAAAGGCTGCACTGCTTGTAACAAGTCTCCTCAAAGTCATGTTTCTCTTTCAAGGTTCTCCCTAGGAGAGCCTCACTCTACTCCTTCCACCACATCTCTCCTCCTCGCAGAGGGCTGCCCACTGTCTCCTGTCCATTATTCTTATTGTGCCTTTTGAATCATTTGTTTTTTGATGACCCTGAAGCCCTATTAGACAATCCCTCAAGACCCAGCACACCCTCACCTTCCATGTGGAGTCTTTCTGAGCACACTAGTCCTGACCAATGTCATGTTTCTCATATGTGGAGTGGTGACCTGTTGCAGCCAGGACAGCACTTAAATGCTCTTTAGTTTTTCTGCATATACCACACTGCTCTTCCCACCTAGACTGCACAGGGCTCCACTGTAGACTGCACAGGGCTCCAGTGTGTAAAGACTGACTCAGCACACCATCACAGTGCCTGCAGTAAGCACTGTTAGCATACTTACGGGAGCATTGACAAAGAAGGATGTTCAGTGAGATGGGAAGAAGCAAAGGTGCAGTAAGGTCATTAAATGGAGGCTAGATGGAGAAGAGACAGGGTCAGAGACTGAATTCTGTCTCCCCAAAATTCACATATGAAGCCTTAAACCTCAGTACCTCAGAATAGAACTGCATTTGGAGACAGGGTCTTTAAAGAGCAATTAAGTTAAAATGGGTGCTTTAGGGTAGGTCTTGATCCAATCTGACTGTATCCTTAGAGGAGATAAGCACACACGGTGAGATGCGGGGTGCGTGTGCACAGAGGAGAGAACTAGTGAGGACATGGCATGAAGACAACCAACTGCAAGTCAAGGAGAGAGGTCTCATGGAAAACTAAAAGCTGCCACCACATTCATCTTGGTCATTTAGCCGCTGAACAGTGAGAAAACAAACCCCTGTTGTTTCAGTCACTCAGTCTATTTTGTAAGCTTGCCCTGGCAGACCAACACAGACAATAATGGACAAATACTAGTAAGCTAGTCATTTGAAGAAACAAAGTAAGAGTACGAGGCTACAGTACAAAGCAGATATAGAAGGAGCCAATCTTCTTACAGTTTCACCCTTGGTTCCAAAGTATTTGGAGGGAAAGAGCATCCCCATGAACCCTCTGAGAATATGAATTGTGCCAATTCTGGATCTGGATGGCTGCCACTACCCAGATACCTGGTGCTGAACTACGGACCATGTGTCTAAGTTTTCTCCTGTTATAGACCAATATTACTGTCTAGTAATTCTTGTTTGTGAGCACTTTGACTCTGTATGTGTCCTGGTTTATATGGTCAATTACGTGGTCATCCTTTATAGTTCAGTTGGGATAACAGGCCTCTCTACAGGAAACCTTTCAGCTGAAACTAGAAAGCCAACCAACAGTTTCTCAGGATGATTTACTGAAGGACTAAAAGAGGGAAGTGTCAGTGGCTCTCAGCAGCCTCAGCCAAAGCAAATGAGAATGCAAATTAAAAGCAAGATTTTGGAGATTACTGTAGAACTTTGTACCACACACTAACACACACACCATCAGCCTAGAAAACCTCCACCATCCCCACGTCTACGTGCATGTGGCTTACTCTATGCCTAACCGCTCTTCCTCATTCTGTCGAAGGGTTTCTAAAGGATTTTAAATTTTGTGATTTCTCTCATTAGGCCTGCTTTCTAAAGAAATTCACTTTTACTTGGTCCCATCTGCATAAATACCTGTGGGTCTAGGAGGCGATCCCATGGGGTAATGGATCTTCTCTCCTTCATTTTCTGCCTCTGCACAGAAGGGAACATTTTCCCTTTTCCCAAGTAAACTTGCTGACAGGCAGAACTGGATACAAAGAGTAAAAAATTTAAAGCAGCTGTAAAAGAGAGTAGATACTAAATGTTCTTTCTACATATACACAAAATAAATTAAAATTAAGTGATTATGGATGTGTTAACTAAACTGAGTGTGGTAATCACGTATATACAAGTATCCAGTCATCATAGTGTACACCTTAAACTTACCAATGTTATGTGTCATTTATATCTCAATAAAGCTGGAAAAATAAAAGAGCAGTTGTAATGAGATGACCAGCAAGAACAGAGGCTTAAGAAAAAAAAAAAACTTTATATGAAATAACAGGAATCTAAGAAAGTGGACTCCTATTTCTATTTTCAGCATCTCAGGTTAACACAGGTTGAGTTCATGATGTTTTCGTATAGCTCCCCAGCAATTCAGAAATGGCAGGGCTCAGACTAGTAGAGATGTACTTGCTGCAGATTTGGAAGGGACGAGGAGCTGAGCCTGGGGACTGGGCTGGGTCCCCAGGCTGCAGATATGCAGGAAAGTAGTAGTATATCTGGGATTCTATTGTACCCCGGGCACATGGCAAATTTCACAGGTCCTTTCCTTGTCAGATTCACCAGTTTGAATCAACTGCTCAATTTCGGTGCCTAGCAGGCTTTTTTTTTTTTTTTTAATTGAAGTAACCCCAAAGGTTCAATGATGGAAAATGAGCCATATTAGAGTAGGGAATCATTTAAGAATCCTGAATTCCATTTCACCCCTGGTGTTTATGCTTTCCATGGGAGAGATAAAAATGTGTAGGTTCAGAAAAGGGAAATTTCTGAAACCCTATTGGGAAAGTTTGAGATTGTTTCCTGCTGTTAACGGATTGTTAAAGACCAAGGAATCAGCTCAAACAGAGGTCTACTTTTTGGATGACTGGTGATTGTCATTAAGAGACTTTATGTCAACCTTTTTAAGTTAGTGAAGACTGGTAGAGACATTCTGAAGTTCCAGCTCCACTTTCTTCTCTACAAACATTTTCTCAACATATGACTTTCATGGAGTTATTTAATTATTTTCTCAATGTTATTTAATTATTCAAAAACCTGACTCATGAATGCTTCACAAGCTTCAGCAACTGACGTGTGCGTGTTTGTGCGTGCAGTCACGATGCATGTGTACATATTTTCATGGGCACCCATAGGATAACTCTCTGTAAGTGTTGAGATAATTCTTTGGATTATAAACTCTGCGAGAACTCCTCCTAAGGCTACTAATATTGAACTCTATCACTACGGAGTGTTCAAGACATAAGCACAATGGACATGGTAAAAAGTAGAGCACCATTCCTAAAAATAAATGGAATATTTTGTTTATTAATATAATTCATTTATCAACTTAAGTCATCAGATTTCATTATAATATTCAAATATTCTATTATTTGTGTTAAGGAATATTTTACAAAGAAAAGCATTCAAATGAGATGAAACAGACATTCAGCCTAAATGACCGATAAAGCACTCATCCGTGGTACTGCATGTAGCAGCATCTCCTTCCTTTTTTAAGGCTGAATAATAGTCCATTTTACAAAATCCACATTTTGATTACTTGTTTATGTATCAATGGACATTTGGGTTACTGCCACCTCTTGGCTATTGAGAATAATGCTGCTATGAACATAGGCATGCAGGTAAATCTTTGAGACCCTGCTGTTAATTCTTTTGGATATATCCAACTGCAGGATTGCTGGAGTATAGTACAGTTGTATCGGCAAAAGGAAATTTTTGAAGCCCTAATAGGAAAGTTTGAAATGTTTCCTGCTGCTAACAGATTGTGAAAGACCAAAGAATCAGTTCAAGCTCAGGTTCACTTTTTGGATAACTGGTGATTGCCATTTGGAGATTTTATGTCAACCTTTTTAAGTCCATGCAGATTGGTGGAGACATTTTGAAGTTCCAGTTCTACTTTCTTCTCCAGAAACATTTTCTTAACATATGACTTTCATGGAGTTATTTAATTATTTTAAATTTTTAGGAACTACCTTCCTGTTTTCCAGTAATGGCTGAACCTTTTTACTGTCCCATCAAAAGTGCTCAAGGGTTCCAATTTCTTGTTATCTTCACCAACATTTGTTATATTCTGTTATGTTAACAGTAGCCACCCTAACGGGTGTGAGTCTTACTGATTTTTATCTAACGAGTTTCACAACTTCTATTAGAGTCTATTTTAGAGTCCTATAATCTTCATAATTGAGTTAACTTGTTCTATGTTTATTCATTCATTCACTCAGCCTTTATTTAGCACCTATTTCATGCAAGGGATAAGGAAATATCAAAGCTTAAAAAAATCTTACATGCCATCAAAGAGCTGACAGTCTCGTTATCAGAGACAGGTCGGTAAATACAACATCAAAACACTATATTTACATCATTTGAGGACAGTGATAAGTGTCAAAATACACTCAGTACAATATGACAAGATAGTACTAAGGAGGGACTGCTTAACTGCTTGGGCAGAGAACCCCAAGGAGGTAATATTTAAGCTGACTCTTGAAGCATAAGGCTCCTAAGACAGAGAAGGAAAAAAGAAAAAGTCCTAGCATGCTTGCATGTACAAAGGCACAAAGGGATGGGAGAACACTCAAGTGTAGGAAACCATCAGTTTTTCCTACATGTGTGGTAATAGCATTGGATATGCGATGGTATGTGACACAGGCACCAAGAAATGTGACAAAGGAAATGACAAAGTTGGCGCTAAAATGTAAGAATAGGTAGACATGAAGGGCCTTGTGTGTGATGCTTTAGAAGAAAATGTTACTTACACAATCCGGGAAGTGACATGGTTGGAAAACACAATGTGTCTGTGAGAAGGTTAGGAAGATGGAGATTGAAGGTAAGAGACAATTCAGACATTTCAACTGTTTTTATATGAGTTGAATTAAATAGGGATGTTGATGTAGGGCCAGATTCAAAAGATACTTTGGGACCTAAATAAATGGACTCTGAGGAGTAGTTTAATGTGGCACATAATGGAAGATGAGGAATGCAAGATGATTCAGATTTCTTAGTTGGGAAACTGGGTGGATGGTGCAGGCATTCATTACCTGAGAAGAGAAGATAGGAAGAACAAGCAGGCTGTTGGTACTCATTGGGGTGGGGACACCAGGAGGATGGTGAGGAGACAGAAACAGCATGAAGAACAGTCACACGTTGCTTACTGAGTTTTGGTCAACAATGGGGGGTCCCGATAGGCTATACCATACAGCTTAGGTGTGTGGCAGGCAACACCATCTAGATTTGCATAATTGCACTAGGACATTCACATGATAAAATTACCTAAGGACACATTTTTTTTCAGAAAATATCTATACCTATATATTGTACCTGTAAGACAGAAATGTTTAGGAGGGATAGTTAGGAAAATGAGCCTGGAACCCCAGAATGAGGTTTGAGTCAGCACAGCATGTGTTTGAAAGTCCTTACTAATAAACTGGTAAAATTATGGGAGGTGATGATGTTACTTAAGCTAACCATGCCGAATAGGATAAGACTGAGCACGTAGTTTTGAGAAATCCCAACATTTACAGGGAGACAGATCCAAGAGAGGCTGGAAGTGTCAAAAGAAAAGAGTTCTCTAGTTGGCGAGAGAATGAAATAATGACTGAAAATTGCTGAGTGCATTTGGCAACCAGATTACTGTCATCTCAGCGAGAGTATTTTCAGTGGATTAAAAACCAGAGGGTTGCAGCTACCTGTGGAGGTGGAGGCACTGAAAAGAGGGTAGGAAGGTAGCTGGAAAACTCAAAGGATGTGGATCTTGTTTTCACTCTTTTATGTTTGAGGCTAGGAACCACGGAGAAAGAAAAATTGAAAATGGAAGAGGGAAAATTGATGAAACGAGATCCTGGATGAGGTTCAAAGGTGAGGGTAAAGACACTAGCATTGGCATGAGGATGGCTGCTTCCAGATGCTCTGGGTGGCACCTCACTCTTATGCAAGGGGAATTGTTCCTTCTTGCACCTCACAGCCAGAGTCTTCTGTCTCAGTCAAGATGCAGTACGGAACAATATCTTTCTTCATTATTTAAACAGAAATACAAATCCTATTAAGTAAATTTCTACTCTTAAGTCTAATTAAATCTTTTGTAAAAATCACCTTTAGTCTGAATAATCCAAACACAACAGAAGTTTTTCTGAGGTATTGCTCCTTAAGATTTCCCAACAAAACAAGAATTCTGAGTTCATTGATGGTAGGGTTGCTAAGCAACCATGTCACGATCTAACATTATCTACCAAAATGACCTGATAGGAAATAATCGTACTCTAAGTGCAAATGTAACTCCATTTGTCATTTTGTTCTCACTCCTTTCCCCATAAAGGTGGCCATCTTTATGAAAGGGAAAATTTGCCATAAAACACAAAGGATATTTGTTTACTTAACACACAGATGTGTTAAGTCATTTTATCCATGATGAAAAATAGTAGGTATGCCCATTCCAGAACTGAAATGGGGGAAATTCTTAAGAGTTACTAGTGATTTCATTTAGAAAAACTTCCATCTGTTTCGTAATTGCGTTGAATTTATTGCAGAGAAAAATAGGATATATTTGCCATATAGGATTACAGATAGGACTCAGTATGAACAATTTTAAGAGATTTGAGGGACAATTTTCTTGAGCATAGAGCACAAGTAGGTGAGAGAGAAAAATAATATTTATCACTTATGCTCATATTTATTATTAAAATTCTTGGTGATGCTTTGCTTTGTGGGAAATGCTGAGACTTATAGCATTTAATGCTTACCGGCTGCCTTTTCTTTGGAAACAGCATTTCTAAGATGGATTATGACAATGGAGAAATGGAAAGGGAATTGATATGGAGTACCCAGTGTAGGTGGCAAATCTCACACACATAACCTCATTCATCTCCCAACCTGTGAAATAGTTATTATCCTTAGCTATTTGCTATGTCTACATCCATTTATTTAGAAAGACAGAGGCCTACTGCAGTGACTCAAAAGGTATATATATGTGTTAGATCCAGGACAGTCTCCTCTGTCTTTTCCATGTTTTAGAGTAAGGCATCTCTTAAACTCTGGTAAACTAAATGATCTCTACCTCTTGGATGCTCTCATTGCTCACTATTCCTTATAATTCATCTGGTACTTTCTAGTACATACCTGAATTCTTACTTACTCAAAACTCTGTCCTCTCGGACCCCCTTTCACTCCCCTTATCCAGTTCTAATTCTTACATTCCATTTCCTCATCATGCCCTCCGCAACAGTGCCAGAATTCCTTGATTGCAGGATACCTGCGGACCTTAAGGCTATCTTATCAATTGACAACACATTCCGGAACTTATGGTGTCGGTCAACAGATGAGATATCGAGTTCTTCTATCAAGACTTGACTTTCTGAGATGGGAAAATGTCAATATGAATGAAAGATCTTCTAAGCCAGGGAATAATATATACAGCATATTCCTTAAAGCCAAGAGAATGGCATTACTCCTGGATCCTGTATGAAAAGCCAGTGAAGAAGAAATTGACACTTTTGACGACTGACAAAGCTGACAGTTTTCTTCTCTAATCTACAAGGTTTGAATTCTTCGGTAAAACCACAAAACTCTGGATACTACTGTTATATAAATGAGAAGGCCCTTAGAATGAGGTGTCTCTAATGCAGTGGCCACCTATGCAAGCAAACCGAGAACTAAATCTGTAAATGGCTCAAAGTTACACAATCAAAACCTGAGGAAAATAATCACAGTCAACTTAGGTTTTAAACTGTAGCCAGTCAATAATTCCCTTACTTCCTCCTTTTCTCTGTAAGTCTCTCTCCCAGCTCCTGGCAGTGGAAAGCTCTTAAGTACTTCCAGTTTATTTTATTTATTTATTTATTTATTTAATTTAATTTTATTTTTTTTTTTGTGGGACCCTCGCCGGTGGCCAGGGATTGAACTGGCGCTGCAGAGGCTGCTGGCAGCCTCTCAACCCAGCGCTCAACCGCTGCGCCACCAGTGGAGGACCCTAGTACTTCCAGTTTAGCACTGCCATTTGGAATCAATTTCTGCTCAAAAAAATTCTTAACATTTTTAACATGCATCAGTTTAACTTCTAATACCATTCTGTAAGAACTATGAATTGAATGAATGTGAGAAACTTGGTGAAATGATTAGAAATTGATTAGATACTGGAATTCTCATCTATTGGTGATTGGTCGCTTCTTTCTTACAAGAGATATCTCATTGAAAATTATATTCTTTTTTGTCTTTTTAGTCAATATCTTTGTGTCTCTAATGCCTGGCAAGGGAATCACTCAATATATATTTTAAGTTCTTGACAATGGTTGTTGTGGTCTATTCCCAGTTAGAATAGGTAAGAATAGGTAAGGGCTCATACATTCTAATTTGTAAAATCACCTTCCTTTGAGTTTTAGAGAAAGTAATTTTAGAATATTAACTAGCATCTATCTAAGGCAGATAACTGGCTTCTGAAAGGAGTGTGTGTGTGTGCACTGTGCTGTGCTTTTGGTACCTTTTGGACACCATATTGTGTTTCCACATTCACTCTTCAGCTAAATTAATATTGTGTGTATCTGATATACAATTTGTAAAAGTCAATTTCCATCACATGGACATATATCTACCTTAAAAATGTACTTTCACTCTAAATGAATATTTGAAAACAGGCATGCAAAATTAAGCAATAGATTTTAGTATAGCAAAACTGATTTTCACTATAGTTTTTAAAAAATTGGAAAATTAAACTCTGTACTTGGCAAATTTGGTCGTAAGAATGAACTAAGGTGGTTCATTTTTCTCATCTCCTATAACTTCTGATCAAAAGTCAATGTCTTTGTGACCAAATGAGCTGTCTGTTTGCCTGTGGTATAGCCTGGGCTGCCATGTTCATGTGGACCCATTATTTACTTCAAAAAGCATGGATTTAAGACCTTGCTTTCCTATTAATGCACAAAATTATCCTAAACAGCAAGATGTTTTGTGTTCCTTTACCCCCCTCTGCTGGTAAATTCTGATATAGCACTAAATTTTTTTAAGTCAAATTGACAGAAACATCAATTGTTTTGAAAACTCTAAGAGGAAATAATGTTGAAAATCAAGATAAACAGTCAATATTTTCCTAAGTGCAATATTTCTTTCCATTTGAAATATTAAATATTATTTTCTACAACAGATCATTGATTTCTATGATTTGTTTCTAGTGTCCAAGTACATTTTTTCCCATCACGTTAATGTGATGCATGGTCAAAAGAATGCCTCCACAAAGAATAGAGAGTATTTTGGCCATAAACCTGAATACATTTACAAACTAAATAACACCATACTTTGGATTAAGTTGTTTACATTACAAATTATTCTCATTTATATTTTATTTATTTCTTATAATGTTATCTTGAGATGGGTATGACATCTAAAATTTAAAACTTACTTTTCCTAAAAAGTAAAAAGAATCACTGGGGTCAGTCTCCAGTAAAATTCAGAAATAGATTCATGTGCTTGGCCCCTCCAACTGTTCCCTTTTTTTTTGCATTGCTTCTATAAACCCCTCTGGCTCTTCCCCCAGATAAAGGAATCTAATGTTATCAAAGTCTCCCTTTAGAAAATAAGGTATCTGAAACATTTATTTACAATATGTTTCTCCTCACTTAGCATAATTTGCATTTTAAAAGAAAGTCAAAAGTAAAGCCAAAGCAACCAGCCCTAGTAGGAAATCACAGCCACTAGAAAGGCTTTTTGTTTGTTTATAGATAGAAAGTTTGCAGTTACCACCCAAATAAAAAGGTGATGGCTTCTGAATCAAGTGTGCACCCAAGTTCAAGGGTGTCCCCCATGGGGACAAGTGTTGCAATTGACATTGGCGTGTCAGACTGAGGTTGGATTTGGGAGCTTGGCAGATCCAGAGTGGAATCGCAGCTATGACATGTAATAGTTTAGGACTTTGCACAATTTTCTTGACCTTTCCACACCTCAGCTTTCTCTTCTGTAAAATAGGCGTAATTCCCATATCACAGGGCTGCTGTGAGGATTAATGCCTGGCATGCAATTCCCTCTGCCTCTTCCATGGACGGAGTTTCTCAAAGGGTGGCATAAATTTTGCAAAAAAGTAAACAGTAACGCTACAAATGGTCATTTTGTGCAATTGAATACGTTCTTTCTTTGGTAATTTTTCAGGGAAAATTTCCTGAAAATATTTCTACATCAGACCCCATTGTTGCTTCACCCAGAATTCTTGCAGGTATTAAGCACTCTCTTCTGGATGTGAGATAATCCACATGGTTTCATGTTTCTCTCTGTCCACTCTCTTTGTGGGCAGCAGGAACTATCTTTAGCTCCTAAAACACTTCTACTTGTGGTGCACAGGAACAGAACCTGTCCTGGCTGCAAGGTTAATGGAAGGACAGGTCACACATTTGAGTCAGTCAAGATCCTAGATGTAGGGGTCAGGTTCCTAATATCCTTGAGAAACCATCAGCACCTTCTTAACCATCAGCTTAGTCTCAAATGTGTGAGGATGTCTCACCAGCTACTTCTGTTATCACCATCTCGTCTCTCCCTTTGCCATAGCAGCTCCCTACTGCACACATCCTCGTGTTCCATGGAGAGAATTCTGTAAACACTGAAGGCAGTTCAATGAATTTAAGACAGCTGACAGGGGTTAAGTGAATCCACCCTTGTTTTAATTTTGGCCATAAAAATGCAATGAAGTAATTCATTCCTCTCATCCCCTATAAATTCTGATCAAAAGTCAAGGTATTAGGGTTTTAATGCCTCATATTCTGTGGATTATAGTGATATACTTTACTGTGATGACCTTTTCAATATTCTGTAATGTGCTTAACTGAGCCTTGAGCTCACTTTTTATGGCACTATTGATCTCTGCTGGGAAGTACACAGGTAAATAGATAAGCACACTAAACTCTTCAAGAGAAACTTGCAAAGGTGTGGGGGGGAACATCCCCCCACACGAGTCATTCCAGTCTAGGGAATGCTGTCCTTTTTCTCTTATATTGAGTGTTTGAAAGTAAAGTTCCTCAGGGCCTCCCTGGTGGCCTAGGGGTTAAGTCTGAGTGCTATCAGGGCTAGGGCCTTAGTTCGATCCGGGTCAGGGAGCATAACCACATATGACATTTGGTGCATTTCAGTAGATCCACCTATTCTGCTCCCCACTCTGTCTCTGGTGAATCCTCTCACCACCACCATCACCAGCCACCGCCCCCCCCCACCTCTGGCCTCTACCTCAGTTCTTCTATGCATAAATAAATAAGTCTTAAAGAAAGAAAGTAAATTTCAGCAGAGTGACTGTTTTCTGTTGAAGCAAGGAGGAAGGTGGCATTCAAAAGATTCTGGAGAACAGTGTTCTGCACACAATATACAGACTTTCTCTTACCTTTCAGCATTTCATTCAGCTGTCAGAATTTCCTGGGGGTGTAGACTTCTGACTGTACCAGCTATGTGCACCTGTAATAATCATCAGTTAGCATTCAGTGAGGTCTTCAATGAAATAGGCCAAATGCTTAGCACTTTACTGGAGTTATTCTCAAAACAACTCTTGAGGTAGATACTTTAATAACTTCCATTTTACGGAGGAGGAATTGGGGATCTAGATAAGTTAGATAACTTTCCCATATTAGATGGTAGAGCTGGAATTCAAACCCAGGTCCTTCTGATTTCCTGCTGCCACCATTGTCTTTGTACCATGGGCTGCTCCCTTTCAGTGGCTGAAGGTTACTAATGATGGCCCGTTTGTGTGGGATATAGGACCCCTCTAATATGTGACCTTACAGAGGAACTCCCAAGGAGCCTGGCCAAGATTACTTAGAACTGCACAGCAGTTTAAGGTTCTTCCAACCCTCCTTCCTTTCTCTTCCCCTTTCACAGGTAACAGCCTCCACCTGTTTATTCCTGCTTCCTTTTATTTATTCTTCACAAGCACTTTCCCCAATAAATCTCATGCATATCTAATTATATTTATCTCTGCTCCTTGGAGGACCCAAAGAACACACTGCCTTTGCCTTATTCTGGAGAGTGATATAAATTCCCTGTCCTTGTCTTCATATGCCCAAGGTCAAGGAAGAATTACTAGTGACATTCTGGATTAACAGAATTTGTGTCTTTAAAAGACCTTTGATGATTTCAGTGGATTACTTCCTTATCTTCTCCTTTTAATGAAAAAAAATATTTTGTATGTTTTGTACATACACTATGCTTCGTACATAGTGTAGACTATGCACAAATTTCTTAGATCTGAGCAGTCACAGAAACATTTGACCCAAGCTTGGAGACACAGTGTCACACTAAGTAGAAGAGCATCTCTGGAGGGTGTTCTTAGGGGTTTTGTGTGAACATGGAGTGGTGTGCACCAAAGCTCATTTCCCAAACACCAGCCCAAGTGCTTGAAAATAATAAGAAAAAAAAATTCTGCAGTCAAATACTAGGTAGTACAGCCTAATTCCCTACTCTTATTGGAAAGTTCTGGTGTGCCATGGTATACTGAAGACCCCACAGAGATCCTGTAGCAAGGAGACTAGTTTAAGTCCCCATATTTATTTCACAAGGGATCCACTTTTGAACACTCAACCAGAGGAATGGAGATTTAGCATCGAGACATGTTGGTCTATAGGTTCACCTGCCTTTCTCTCTCCCTAAATCTAGCCTTTTCATTTTGTCCTTAAAAGTATTTTCTTGCTTTTGTTTGTTTACTCTATCTAAGAATAGTGACTGAAAGCTTATCTTGCTATAGTAATAGAAGTTCCTCATTCTTTGCTACAAAAGGCATTCATTGAAAACATTACTAAAAGCTCTAGGCTATACTCTGTGGGAAGTACATGTGAGACTGGCTTCTGCCTTCCAGAGGGACTTAGACTTAGAGAAAAAGTAAGGCACGCAACTAGGTCAGTCACTAACAGGTAGTCTTGCTGTTATGGCTGTAAGTGCTGCTTCTAGGAACTGTTAGGGAAGAGTTCGTGGGAAAAGTCACCTTTGGGCTGGCCTTCAAGTGTCATCTTCCTTCATGTTGATGATCGCTCCATTCAAACGTCCCAATGGAAATGACTTTTTCTTTCAACCATTATAAAGTAACTTTATATTTTCTAGGGCTGCCAAAGCAAAGTACCAGAAACTGGATGGCTTAAAACAACAGAGGTTGGATCTGATTTGAAAAGCTATACAAGCCATCTTATTCCAAGCAGGGATTTAGGAAGAAAGTTCAGGGAGACACTTCGGCAGACACTTGATTTCCCTGAAAAGAGAGCTAAGTGAGGTAACATCTAAAGAAAAAGATGCGTGCCATCTAGTGGCACTAAGAGCAAAGTCTAAGGTTTCGATAAACATGATTTCTCTTTCCCAGAGAAGGCATTCTATAGGGCTTTTAGTAGTCGTATTTTGCTACTTTAGAAGTAGGTGTGGGAGTTCACTAAATCAGGATAAAATGACTATGTTTGGGGCTGGAGAGCCATATAGGAAAAGATAAAATTGGATCTACTCTTTATTCTACACTGGATATATTCCAAATAGATCAGATATCCAAGCCGCTTAATTTCATAGCCACACATCTTTCCTTCACAGCCCCATTGTGGGGCCTCTCTGATGGCCTGGGGGTTCAGTCTCAGCACTACCACTGCCACATCAGCCCGAGTTCAATCCCCAGCCAGGGAGCTAACCCACATGGTGAGGAAGACCTCTCCTGTCTCGCCCGCTGCTCCCCTCAGCAGTGTATTTCAGTCAGTCTGCCTGCTCTGCTCCCCATTCTTTCTCTGATGTATCCTCTCCTGCCCCTCCCCACACCTCTGGCCTGCACTCCAGTTCTTCTACTCAAAAATAAATAAAATATTTTAAAAACCCAACCAGCCTCATTGTACTTCACTATATGCACACACCATTCAAAAAAGAATCTCTACCCCATTCATAAAAAAGTAAAAGTGAAACTTTTTAGGTAACTGAGATACCATTTTCCACTTACCAAATTAGCGGAAATTTAGGAGCTTGATAATCCACTCTACTGGAGAGACTATGGGGAGACAGGAAATCCCATACATTGCTACTGTGAATACAAAATTACACAACTCCTATGAAGGTGAATTTGGCAATATAAGCAGAATAACATGTTTTTCTCTCTAAGCTAGTAATATCACTTGTAGGAATCTATGCCAAAGCCCATTACCAAAGCATATTATGTACAAGAAACATTTTGTAATAGCAAAATACCAGAAATAGGCCAAGTAGCCATCAACAAAGACCTGGTTGAATAAACTCTGGTACATCCATATTATAACCAAAGAGAAGAATTTTGTCCAGTTCACTTAACACACAGTATTTTGTACATTACTAATGGTATGATATAGCATGAATTTAACAAATTTGAATAACAAACTTAAACTTCACTCAACAGTCTTATGTTAGCTATATCATTATTGCTATATAGGTTAAGCATATTGGTATCCATGTTTGTGTGTATGTATGTCTGCATGTAACAGGGTGGCCCCCAGGAAAAGGGGAGGTTCGGGTTTCCCTTCCCCCAGGGAAGGGTGGAGCTGAGTAGGGAAGAGGAAAAGTTGGAGAGGAGACTGGAGAAGGAAGGAAGAAAGATAGGCAGCAAGGAGAAGACCTGGAGGAGCCGTATGGAGCAGAGAGCCATGGATAGAAGCTGAGCTTGCTTCTCAGCCTTGGACTTATACCAGGAACTTGGGGGACATGGAAAAAGACAATTGAAACAGACGTGGGTGAGAGATGTGTGGGGAGGTTAACAATGACAGCGTTTATCTTGATTTTGATTCACTCCTTTCCTTTCAGACTTGACTGGCACCTTCTGCCCCTTGCCTATGTGTCCCCACCAGAAGGTGCCTTAGACGTATGGCAGGCTTTTGGGCCTTGGTGGCCCTGCTTTGGGCCAACCCTGTTTGGTTGGGCATTCACCTAGGAGGGGGTGGGGGGAACTTTGGGTGTTTCACATAAAAACATGTTTATCTGTTCTCTCCCTTCTCTTCTCTTTATTGCACACTAATTGTATAATACCTTTAATACCATTAATACCATTAAAGGTATTAAGCACTAGAGTATGTTTTGTCTTGATGCAATGGATGGCAGAACTTATTTAGAGTAGGCAGTTTTGTTACCTGCTTGGTAACATGTATATGTATAAAACAAACAAGTAATTATGTAATTACTTAAAATTAATTATGCTGATTATTAAAAACCAGTATTTTCATCAAAGAGTTCAGCATTAGGACATAGAAAAGGGTACTTAATGTTCAAAACATCTAAAAATCAAAACAATGTTAAGTTTGGAGGAGAAAGGCAGCTAAAGACAGCATAACTAATTTTTAATGCTTAAACATAGTTTAAGCATTGAAACATCATAGTTTAATTTCTGATGCACCCTTTCCAATTAAAATGGTTAGCTTCTCATTATAATGGTTGGCTTCTCTGTTTCCTGAATGCTGGTCCCTCTCCACCACCATCTCATCTTCAGTATATTACCAAATTAATTTCTGCTGATTCTTAGGGTCAGTTAATCACTGTAATACCCATCCCCCAATGAAAAATCTTTTATTATATGGTATCACAGATTCTAATACCTTTCCATAGTGCATTTTCTTGATTGAGCATTGGTGTAATTTGTTAACAAATATTCTTCCCCTTTCCAGGTCTGAAACTTTCTGGTTTTGCTCATCATCCTATATACACCATAGTGCCTAATTACATAGTAGGTGCTTAATAAACAATTGTTAAAGTAAAGCAAACTGTTTAACTCCATTCTGTTCACACCTCTTGTGTGAATTTTTTCTTGAATTGGAAAGGGTAGAACACCTAAAGACTTTAACTCCAAAAGGAGCAGTGATTCCAAGGAAACGTTTTATACATAAATTCGAGCACTCCTGGCAGATTAGACAATGACACAACAGTGGATAAGAGAGGCAGTTTTGTCGCTGCTTTTACCAAGTTTTCATGGGGGTGAGGTAGGGTGGGAGTCAGCATTCACCACGCTGTTTAAATTAGAGTCCACGTCTCCTATCTAAATGAATCACATCCTACAAGCGATCCTGGTGGGATGGCCAATGTCTGAGAGTGGAGAAGCAGCCTGCAGCCAGGAGCTGGCTGTATCAGTACTGCCCATGACAAGACACTATGGAGCCAGCAACGAGTGGGCTGGGAGTCAGGTTCCTTTCGGGTCTCCTAACTCTAAATTCCACTGAAGGGAGCTTCTGCAGCTGAGGCCTGCAGCAGATTTAATCTTCCTTCAAAATTCCACTCTTCCTTTATCATCAGTGTTGTGTGCAAATATTTTCTCCCATTCGGTGGGGTGTCTCTTTGTTTTGGTTACTGTCTCTTTTGCTCTTTAATTTGGTGTAGACCCAGCTGTTTATCTTTGCCTTTGCTATCACTGCTTTGGGTGATGTGTCTTCATGGATGTTGCTGAGGTGAATGTCATGTAGTGTTTCGCCTATATTTCCTTCTAAGCCAGAAAGAAAAAGAAAAATACCGGATTGTCTCGCTCATAGCAGGAATTTAGAAAACCTAAATAAGGGACCAGGGAAAAGACTAATTATAATAAAGTAAAAATCAAAATCAACAAGCAACTATAAACCAGAGACAAAAGGGGGGGTGGGGGAGGGAGAGGGGGTAGGAGAGGAGGGATTAGGGTCAAAATAAGGGGGGAGGGATTGTATGGGGAATATGGGGAATATAACCAAGATGAAAATGCATGCATTGTGCAAAAATGAAAAAATGATGTAAAAAATATATAAAAGCAAAAATTAATTAAAAAAATTTTAAGTTAAAAAAATTCTACTCTTCCGCGACAGGTATTCTGTGCTGTACTTAATTACCTATGTGGTACGATTGGAACAGACCGTTTTCTAGAGCCGAAGTTCTCACCGAAGGTCCTGGCTTTCCAAGACCAAAATCAGCGTTTGTGAATTCCGGCTTAAACTGTCCTACCTCGGGCTCCGTAGAACCGGTATCGCCACGAAAGGGCCTTCAGTCGCGTTCTGAGAAAAACTGAGCAGTAGGTGTCCACGACGTTTCCCGAGTATATTGTCTTAAGCTGAAGTGGGATTTTGAAAACACGCTTCAAAGAGAACTTCGATTTAAAATCATGCACGAGGCGGAGCACATGGGTCTTTCCAGGTGTCTAAACTTTGTCCGCCACACCCCTTCGCCCGCAGCTCGCTAGACAGGCAACCCCTGGCCACCCTCTGGGGTCCTGATTTTGAAAAGCGGATCCGGCCAATCAGAGCGCGGAGCGCCGTTTGGCGCTGCCATTTGAGCCAGCCCGGAAGCGAATGCGGCTGCAGCGGCTGCTGAGGCGTCGGGGGGAGGCATGGGCAGAGCCGCTTGACTTCGGGGCGCGAGCGAGGATGTGCGGGCTGGGGGCCACGGGCAGGCTGATGGGGGCGGGCAGGAGCACCCTGTGAAACGGGGTGACGGTGGCAGCCAGCCCGGGCGGGGACCGGGGCTGGGAGAGGCGCCTACGCAGCCGGCTGGCCCGGCGGCTGGGCTGGGGTGGGGGGCTCGGGGCGGAGCCGGGGACACCCCGCCGAGCCTGCGGGCGTGGGAGGGGCGAGGGGGAGAGGCGAGGGCAGAGTGAAGTTTGGGGTACAGGGAATCTTTGAAGTGAGAAGCTGGGGGAAGGCGTCGGCGCCGCGAAGTGAAAGGGTCGGAGAGGAAAAGGGGGGGCTGTGGAAGGTGGGGGGACAGGCAGCAGGAAGGTCGGGGTAAGTGAAGGGAAGGTGAGGGGTGACGAGCTCAGAGAGGAGGAGACGGTCGGTGGGGTGAATAGGGGATCCCGCTGGGGTTCCGGGTCGAGTGCAAACCTGAGCGTGTTTGGAAATTGGGAGACTTGGGGGCGAACGAGACTTAGGGCCCCCCTCCCGCCTCGGAGACGGGGCGACATGTCCGGGGCGTGGGACCCCAGGCTGGTGAGGTTGGCCTTGTTGCAGCAGCTCCGGGCTGTCTACGGTATCAAGGTGAAGGGCGGCCGTGGCCTGAGCGATCGCAGGAGACACGAAGCCGCAGCCACGGAAATAGTGGTGAGTCTGACAGAGGAGACTGGGGGTTTGGGTTTTTTAATTTTTTTTTTTAAAGGAATGTTTTGTTTTTTTTTAATGGCACACTTTGTACTATTTCTTATTTCCAGATTATGCTCATTCGTGATTCGCGTTTGACTCCAAATGTGATTATTGAATGTATCTAACTCAAGACAAAAAACCAGCTGCTGAAATTTAAAAAATGATATTTTTTTTAATTTTTAAACAATATTGGTTTCCCCCCACCCCCTCAGATTGAGTCCCCATAGAATCTCCTTCCCCATGGCACCCGTGCACCATCACCTCAGTCCCCTGTGCTCCTCACTTCCTCCCTCTCATCCCTCGCCCTACTCCTCTCCTGCAGGATGTCTCTGGTTGTCTGCTTTGCTTTGTTGTGTTTTGTACTGTTACTATTTTTTTACACTGATGTCCTATTTGGTTCCCCTATATTCCTGTTATAAGCGAAACCATCCGATATTTTTTTCTTTTTCCTGCTGGCTTATTTCACTGAGCATATAAAGAATGATATTCTTGATTCTATTCAGGGATCTTAGATCATTGAAAGAAAGTTGCAAGACTTTTTTTTTTTTTTTAATCTCAGCACTGTTGACATTTTGAACTACATTATTCTTTGTTGGGTTTGGGGCTTGGGGTGGTTGTGCTGTGCTTTGCAGAATGTTTTAAGAATCATCAGTGGCTTCTGCCCACCAGTGGCATTGTGCAGTTGTGACAACTAAAAATATCTCCAAATATTGCCAATGTATTGTGTTTTCAACAAGTGCTAAGTAATACTATTTTACCATAACTGTTTCAGAGTACGATTTGTAGTGGGACATGGGGTACATTTTCTAAGTGGATCAGGAGCTACAGAAGCCATTTAAGAGGAGTAAATTGAGAGACTAGATTGGAATGATTGAAAAGATGTTGGTGATGTTTGAATGGACACGGGTAGGGGATTTTGAGTGAAATTCTAATACCGCAAAATGAAGAATTTTATAGTGAAAAGATAAAGTGAATTGAATGGAAAACGTTTTAAATGCATGTGCCCTTAAGTACTTAGAATGAAAACTAATAATTTCTGAAAGAAAATAAGCTCTTGGAGGAGAAAAACTAACAATTTGTTTAACTCCTGATAGCATATAAATTCTGGAGAATTTGTTCTTATTGTTTGCAACTTAATGGCAAAATGTTTGTTTAAAAACTACAGAGGTCCTCCCCCCCCCCCACACTATTAAGAAACTGACACCTGTCTTTAGATTCAGCCTGCTATGTGTATGATTTGGGGCTGCTCGTTTAATTTTCCCAAGCTTCAGTTTCCTACTCTATAAAGTGGAATAATGATATCTCATTTGGTTGCTTAGGGAACTTAAAAAAACAATAAAGTCTGTAGATAAGACTTGCACAGCCTATCACATGCCACTTATTCAACTCATGATAATCAGTGGTCTACTTCCTAATTCATAAGCAAGCCGGACATCCTAATAAAAGCATTCTGATAAAGAAATACAGAAGATTACAGAAAAATGAGATCTAACAGGATCAGTAATTTGTTCAAAACATGATTTTTTTAGCTCTTTGGTATTTGCTATCCAATAGTTTTTGGAGCTTTTTAAGAGTAGTACTGGAAATTTTTCAGAAATTATAGTGTTGGGTGTTTTTTTTTTTTTTTTTTTAAGATTTATTTTTATTTATACAAGAACAGGGGCACAGGCCAGCGGCAGAGGAGGATGAGCGAATTCACCTGCGACAGTGTGGGGAACAGAACAGGCAGACTGACTGAAATACACTGCTGAGGGGAGCAGCCGGTGAGACAGGAGAGGTCTGTCCCGCCCTGTGGGCTTCTCCCTGGCTAGCCGGGAATTGAACCTGCACAGCTTCACAGCGCTGCACTCAACCCACTGCACCACCGGCGAGGCCCCTGAAATTATAGTTTAAATGCTATTCCAATGTACAAAAATTAATAAAGCATGTAATTTGTTTTCTTTAATGAGACTAATTATAGCAATAATGAGACTTAAAGGGCAGAAAACAGCCCTGAATAAGTTAGGCTTGACATTTGTAGACTTGTAATCAGCTTTAGTGACTTATTTTTGCTTTAGTTGCACAGTAACAACAAAATTCTGATTTGCCCAAATAAGGGATTATGTGTACTGGCATTTTCTGGAATAATATATCAGACATTGATATACATCTTTTACATCTCATAATTACTTAAGAACTATATGAGGATAATGGAGCGTAGAAAGTGTTAATTGAAGCAGTGCAACTCACCTAGTAAGTGGAGGAGCCTGCTTTCCACTCTACCATGTTTTCAACATGTGTCAACCAAGTAGAATCACATGTTTTAAAAGGGAGGCCTAAAATTTTGTTACTTTGTTGAATCATTAACAATGCTAAATGATTTCTTATTGTAAATAGATACTAATTAAGATATTTCAAAAACAAAAGTGCTATCAGGGCATTCATGGAGCACAGATAGCTGCATCTAAGCTAAATTAACAGGTACACATGTGATTAGGGATCCTCATGTAATTTTCTGTAGGCAGAACATGCAGGCTTGAATTTTTAAGTCGAGTGCAAAAGTACAACCTTCTTAATTAGTGACGTTTTTAAGAAGCTTGAATGTGTGTGCCGTGATGGTGGTGACCCTTTATTCAGAGGTGTGAACACTCAAGTCAACCAATGTACATGTTTACTCTTCAGTGTTAAAATTTGAATGTGAGTAATACATTTGAATATTACTTTTAAAAAATGATTTTCAAAGTAGTTACATGAAATTTGTATTAAATATAGAATCCTGCCTTGGGCATCTTAGGACATAGTTGAAAACACTGTTCTGTAGAGTATGGAAAAGACAATCAGGTCTGAAAAAACTGTTCCTGATATAATTTTTAGAAGTACTCTGTGAGCGACAGAAATTGCGCTTATGTATCAATCTAGCCTTTTTTCTAAATTAGCGTTTATAAGGTGATGGAAGGAAAATATAAGATCACTGAAGGACCTATAGTATTTTGTGGAAAATGGTAGTGTTTTAGGTCAAATTCTGTTTGAGAATTTCCTAAGCACTAGCCAATTTATTTTCCACTGTTGAATTTACTGTACTGCTTGTGGACAGTTATCCTCCCTATCTTTTTACCTCCTGCATCTAGCATAAAATACAGTATATAGTGCACTTGATTCCTAGTGGCACCAGCCCCTAAGTGCAGTTGAAAATCCTCCTCTAACTTTTGACAACCCCAAAACTTAACTACTGATAGCTAGCTGTTGACTTTATCAATAACAAAAAGCATTGATGAGCACATATTTTATGTTGTATGTGGTATATATATATATTATATTAATATAATAAGCTAGATAAAAGAAAATGTGATTAAGAAGAACATAAGGAGTTAGTACATTTGTAGTAGTGCACTGTTTCAATGCTGTAAGTTTGTTTACAAGAAAATCCTTATATAAGTGGACCCAGGCAGATCAAAATTCAACTACTTAATTGTTCCCAAATACACTCAAAATAATCATTTTATCTTGACTGGCAGTTTATTTCTATTATCATTTTTATTTTCCTAGGGTTTTTAATTTGTCTAATATTTAAGAAAACTTAATATTTGTGTTACATTAACTGAATTTGTCATTTTAGGGTAAAATATTTGGAGTGCCTTTTAATGCATTGCCGCATTCTGTTGTACCTGAATATGGACAAATTCCAAGGTAAGCAAAGTTTGAAATGAAGAATAAATATTTTAAACTGTTGTGTGTGTTTAAAAATAGTTGATTTGAACTAGTAAATGACTACATTTCTCAACATTGTAAAGTTATTTTAATTTTTAACATGTACATTTATTTTATTTATTTATGCATACAAGAACTGGGGTGTAGGCCTGAGGTGGGCCAGGGGGGTAAGAAGATTCACCAGAGACAGAGTAGGGAGCAGAACAGACAGATCTACTGAAATGCACTGCTGAGGGGAACTGCGGGGCGAGACAGCAGAGGTCTGCTGTGGCATGTGGGTTAGCTCCCTGGCTGGGGTCAAATTCATGCTGCAGTGGCTGGTGATAGCTTGGTGGCTCTGAGACTTAACCCCCTGGGCCACCAGGGAGGCCCCGAACTTGTGCATATTTTAACTTTAATTTGTATTCATTCCCAGAACTGAGTAAATATTAGAAAGTAAATTCTTTTTTTGTTAAATCAGTTATCAATTCTATATTAATTCTTTTTTTTTTAATTTTTTAATTTTTTTTTCTCTATATTCTTATGCTGCAATTCAGAGACTGTATTCAGTAATGTTCTGAAATACTAGTACAGTTATAATTTTAATACTTTTTAATTTGTTTCAGGAATATTATTATTTGTAAATAGCCTTTTGGACTAACCACATCAGAAATTTACTAAGGAAATTTACATTGAAATAAAATAGCTTAAAAATGTATATGAAGAAAGAATTTTTGGTCTTCCTATTTCATTTCCCTTCTATCCAAAGTAGATTTTATTCTGATTATTCTGTTCCAGTAACCTAGGTTTTTAATTGATGGCTTGCCCCCAAAACATTTATTGAACATTTGACTGCTTTAAAACAGTTTTCCTTTATTCAACCTATAGGAATAGATTCTATTTTGCCTCTTCTGTAACCTATAAAATGTTTGCTTATAATGATCTTCAACATTTAGAAGTGCAGTTATATCCTCAGTAATAACGATTAAATCTTTGCTGTAATTTCTGACTCCTTTTAAAAAAACTGTTTTGTTAATTATGCCCTCTGTGACTTTCAACCACTGCACCAGAGAAACACTGTCAGTTGTTTACAGCTGAAATCCATTTTAATTCGTTGATGCCAACTATACCAACTAATCTAAGGCCACCATTTTGTGTTCAAAATAAAGAAATTGAACACATCTTTAAATAGGAGAAGAATATAAGGATTGGTATGTCCAACTTTTGGGGTGAGAAAAAAGCTTTGCTTTATTTTGAGGTAAATGAAGTAGATAGTAAATGTTTTAAGCCATGTGTGCTGTACAATATGACATATAGATGAGAATAGATTTTTAAAAAAGACCTTGAAGCCCCATGTTAGCCTAGCATGTGGAGGTCTTGTAAAATCTGTTACAGGATAGGGAGAGGGGCACCCCAGAGCCCCCAGACCTGCCTGCTCTAAATAGGTTCTGCCATCTGCCGCATCAACACAAAACATGTAAGACCTTTAATGAAAAGAAACTTTAATACAATTAGGGAACAATATAGAAAAGACAAAGACTATAGTTTCTAAATCAAGCACCCACTGTACCCGTCTCCTCATGGGTAAAAGTCCACTCAAATGGGACTGGCCCAGAGCAAGGCCCCAAAGCCTGCCCCAAGTCTAAAGGACCTTCCAGTGGGGACCCACAAAAAAGGATCAGGAACAACCAAACAAGTCTTTTTGCTGAGTGAAAAAGAGAGGCCAGAAAAGGAGTTTGAAAAGGAAAAATCAGAGAACTAGTAGAAAAACGAACCAGAAGATCAGTGAAAGAGTGTTTTTCAGATATACAGGGAATCGTAAAGTGTATCAGATGTTTATAGGACTACCAGGCAGGGACAATGGATTAACCACAAATTTGGCCAGGCAGAGGCCTTTGGTGACCTTGATGAGAGCTGTTGGTGTAATGAGAATGAGAGTCTTTGGAGACGATTGAAGAGACTGGGATATGATAAAGTGGAGGCAGTGGAAACAAATTTTGTGCTCTGAGTGGACACAGAAATGGAGTAGGATTGAGAAGAACGTAGAATTTGAGCATGCTCATTAAAGTTCTTATGGGTTAAAAGATGGACCTTAGAGAAGAAATTGCAAAGCAGTGACAACTAAGTATCCTTCTATCACAGAGATTTAGGGATTTGTGGCATCAGAACTTCTGAAAGGACAATAGTGCTTAGTCATCCTACTCATGTACTTTCACAGGAGAATAAGATACGATGTGTAAATGGCATATTACTCAGCAATCAGAAAAAGATAAACTCATGCAATTTGCAGCAACATGGATGGAGCTGGAAGGGATCATGCTCAGCGAAATAAGTCAGAAGGAAAAACTGGATGGTCTCACTCATAGCAGGAATTTAGAAAACCTAAATAAAGGACCAGGAGAAAGACTACTTATAATAAAGTAAAAATCAAAATCACCAAGCAACTATATACCAGAGACACACTGCCGGGGGGTGGGGGGGAGGTACAAGGGAGTAGGATCAAAACAAGAGTGGTGGGAATTGTATGGGGATTATAACCAAGATGAAAATGTATACATTGTGTAAAAAAGGAAAAATGATGTAAAAATATAAAATTAAAAAAATATATGATGCATATCTGGTCACCTGAGATTTCTCTTTCAGCTTTCTTGTTGATGCTTGCACATCTTTAGAAGAGCATATTCACACAGAAGGACTTTTTAGGAAATCAGGATCTGTTACTCGTCTAAAAGCACTAAAGGTAAGCATGTTCTTAAACCATACTTTTCACTTGTATCACTTTTTGATTTGGTTTGTTTTTTTTTTTTTAAGACTTGAAAGGTTAAACATTTTTATTTATTTATTTATTTATTTATTTATTTATGCAAGCACTGGGTACAGTCAGAAGCGCGGGAGGGCGAGAGAATTCACCAGAGCCAGAGCGGGGAGCAGAGCAGGCAGAAGGACCCAAGTACACTGCTGAGGGGAGCAGCGGGCAGCAGGAGAGGTCTGCGTGCCATGTGCGATCCTCCTCCGGTGGCCGGGGAGCAGCTGGGGATCGAACCGGCACTGCAGAGGCTGTGGGCAGCTTCGCAACCCAGCACTCAACCGCTGCGTCACCGGGGAGGCCCTTTGATTTGGTTTTTATGATTGAAATATTTAGAACTGCTCCATGAATCAGTGACAATTGAATTGCGAATAGCTTTTTAGGGTTTAGTGAGGTATAACTGACATATATTTAAGGTATACAACTAGATGTTTTGATATATAGTATGAAATAATCATAATCAAGCTATATAATATTTTAAATTTATTGAGTACTTACAAATGTACTATCTCTGTACTATATGAAAATAAAAATTATTTTTAGCCTTCTAGAAAGATGTGGTATATATTAAAACAGGAGTTCATAGAATTTTATTAAAGAATACCTAGAGTACAAATAAATCAAAGTATAAATATACTTTGCAATAAATTTAAATTTTCTTACATCATTTTTGTACAATGTTTATACTAAAATTTTCTTACTGTGTTGTTTATTTTTGTACAATATTTGCTTTCCCCCCTCAAGAGTAGTTCCATAGTTCTCCCACCACCTTAGCACCAGTGAACCATCATCATAGTCCCTCTAGCTCGGTTTTAACTCCTTTCCCTTCCCCTGTAAGTGAACCTATCTGATATTTCTCTTTTTCCTTCCAACTCACTTTGCTTAGCATAATCCCTTCCAGCTCCATTCATGTTGCCACAAATGGCATGAGTTTGTTTTTTTGTTTTTTTTTTTAAATAATAAATTTTATTTTTATATTCCCCCATACAATTGCAAACGCCCCATTCTGACCCCAATCCATGAGTTTGTTTTTGATCACTAATTTCCATTGTGTAAATATACCACAACCTTTTGATCCATTTGTCTGTTTTGGAGCATCTAGGTGGTTTCCATATCTTAGCTATTATAAATAGTTCTGCAGTAAACAGAGGAGTGAAGGTTTCCTTTTGAATTAGTGTTTTTGTTTCATTTGGGTAATTTCCTAGTAGTGGAATTGCTGGATCATATGGTAGATCCATTTTTAGTATTTGGAGGGTCCTCCACACAACTTTTCATAGTGGCTGGACCAGTTTGAGTTCCCACCAGCAGTGTAAGATGGTTCCTTTTTCTCCAAATCCTTGCCAGCATTTGTTGTTTCAGGTTTTTTGTTTGCTTGTTTGTTTGCTTTTAATATGGGCCATTCTCACCGGTAAGTGTCTCATTGTGGTTTTGATTTTTTTTTTTTTTTTTTTTTTGCAATAAATTTTTAAGCCCACAAAATGCTCAAGATGCTTATATTTCTTTCAGAATAAATTGGATCATGGTGAGAGTTGCTTGTCTTCTGCACCTCCTTGTGATATTGCAGGACTTCTTAAACAGTTTTTTAGGGAATTGCCAGAGCCTCTTCTCCCAGCTGATTTACATGAAGCACTTTTCAAAGCACAGCAGTTAGGTACAGAGGAAAAGAATAAAGCTACGTTACTGATCTCCTGTCTTATTGCTGACCACGCAATTGATGTATTAAGATATTTCTTTAACTTTCTCAGGAATGTTTCTCTTAGGTAAGTAGCAATTAAGCCTTGGGAAATGATAGCTTCATCGTCATCTAGCTAGATTTACCCTTCTAGGTAGTAAAATTTCATTTAGAACAGGAATTTTTCTAAAAAATATTTATTTCCTTACTATGAGATGGACACTGTATAATTTAGGAGACAGTACCAAATAATTTATTTTTTTTGATGTCTTAGAGTCATCATTTTGAATTCCTTAGTGACTATTAGTATTTACATGATTTTTTATTCACTGAATAGCTTTATATTACTGTGTTTTAAGAGTATTTTTGTTTTGCTATTTAAATTTATCACCCTCTCTGCTGTCAGTAAGCCTGCTTGTTGTAGTTATACTTGCTGCCTTCTAATAATTTGAAGACGTATATGTTTGTTTGAAAATTAGATAAACTCATTCTATGTATGTGGAAAACCAAAGTGTAAACTGTATAATTAACGTAATCTTTATGATACATATTTAAACACAGAGGTGGTGTATTTCTAGATTGTCTTACTGTATTTAAATCGTCATGTAGATGGATGACTGTTAACTGTATTTTGACTTGGGTGTTATTGATAAACCAAGAGATCTTTAAAATGCGCTTAATCTATTATTTTAATTATGTTTTTATCTTTGACACCATCTGAAAAAACCTTTTTTCCATTTAAGATCTAGTGAGAATAAGATGGATAGCAGCAATCTTGCAGTTATATTTGCACCAAACCTCCTTCAAACAAGTGAAGTACATGAAAAGATGTCTGCTAACACAGAAAAAAAGCTACGATTACAGGCTGCAGTAGTACAGACTCTTATTGATTATGCATCAGATATTGGTAAGATACAGTTGCATTAAGTAACAGGATTGTTAAAATGAACTTTCAAGTGAACTCTGAAAATAACTTAGAAAGTTAGCAAATGCTGTTTGAATATTTTGAGGGGCAGTAGAGAACAAACCTTGATTGTCAGCATTTTATTTAGGCCATGTTCCCGATTTTATCCTGGAAAAGATACCGGCTATGTTGGGTATTGATGGTCTCTGTACTACTCCATCACTGGAAGGCCTTGAAGAAGGTGAATGTGAAACTCCTGGTGACTGTAAGAGAAAGCAAAGACAGAGTGTAGGAGGTAAGTGGCTTTCTCGTTGTATGGAGAAAAACAACCTTTGGTCTACAGGAACATAGAGAATATTTGAACACAGAGAAGCATATGGACTATGGGGTCTGTCTTTTGGGTGCTTAACAGCATAATTGGGAAGATAGAACATCCGAATGTGAAAAGTGAAAATGATGATGCAATCTAATTTTTTTTTTTTTTTTAAAGATTTATTTTTTTATTTATTTTTACAAGCACTGGGTACGGTCAGAAGTGCGGGAGGGTGAGAGAATTTGCCAGAGCGGGGAACAAAACAGGCAGACCAACGAAATACAATGCTGAGGGGAGCAGTGAGCGCGTCAGGAGAGGTCTGCGCGCCACATCTAATATTTAAATACTGTCTTTAAGAGAAACTTAAAATGTGTCCAAAGGAGAAGAGTTCCCTGGGTTGTAATGATCAGGGACTCCTCAAAGAAGAGGTCGCTGAAACTTATTGAAGCATGGATAGAAAGCAGAGGAACTGGATGTATGGTCAGAGTATTTGTATACTATTCTACATGAGAAGGATACCGTGAAGAAATATTTGTATAGGGCAAAGAACTCTGTGTCTGTAAATAGACCAGCATGACTTGAATCAAGGATTTATTATGAGGGTTAGGATAATATGGTGAGCTCTTTCAGGCTAAAGAATTAGAAGGTAAGCTGGGTATTGGAAAGCCATTAAAGGTTTTATGGGTAGAGGCATAACATGATTAAAACATTTTAGAAAATTATCTGGCTTGCAAGAATTGAAAGTGGGAGGTAGAGAGACCAGTCAGATGTGTGGCAATAATCCAAATGTGAGATCATTTTATAAAATAGTAAAATAAACTAGTTAGTAGTATTAATCAAATAATGAAGCAAATAAACCAAGGAAGAATCAAAAACACCCAAAAGTCCATTGTAGAATGAGGCATAAGACTTCTTATTGCCCTGGGCCTCCCCTGATGGCTCAGCAGTTGAGCACTGGGTTGCGAGGCTGTCCACAGCCTCTGCAGCGCCAGTTCGATCCCCAGTGAAGGTCCCACACACACACACAAAGACTTCTTATTGCCCTGATGTAGATATGAAGACCATTCCTCTTCCTGTTGCCTTAGGAAATTTCTTAATATTTTTGAGCATCAGAAACAACTATACTTACTGTCTCATTCCTGTTTAAATCTTTTGGCTTATATTGCCTTCTTGATTTTTTTTTTTTGGAGGGGGACCTCCTTTGTAGATTCCCCTTATGCTTTTTGTGTTCATTTTCTGGAATTACTATCACAAAGTACCACAAATGGGGTAACGAAAACAACAAGTTTATTGTCTCACAGTTCTGGAGGTTAGAAGTCTGAAACCAGGGTGTTGCCTGGGCTATGCTTCCTCTAAAACCTGTGGAGGAGATGGAGGAGACTTTTTTTTTTTTTTTTTTTTTTCCTCTTCTAAATTCTGGGGAAAGCTGTCAATTCTTGGTTTGACTTGCTGGATTACTCCAGTCTCTGCCTCTGTTGTCACGTGGTATCCTCCTGGGTGTCTCTACCCAGATCTCCCTCTTACAGGGATGCCAATCACATTGGATTAGGACTTACCCTGATGACCTCATCTTTATTTGAGTACATCTGCAAAATCCCTAATTCTAAATATGCCACAGACTCATAAACTTGTTAATACATACAGATCTTTCTCAAATCATGTTTTTATCCTTTTCACTTTATGATTTCAATTAGTTAAATAGGTGAACACTGGATCTCTGTTATCTCCTATTCAATGTTCCACTTTAAGAGTCTTAACCTCAATTGACTGAACTAGCACAAAACCTCACTTCTACTTTAGTAATGGTCTGTGAGGCAGACATCTTTGCTTCTGCTTTTCCTTGATGCTTTTTTTTTTTTAAAGAATTATTTATTTATACAAGAACTGGGGTACAGGCCAGAGGCACAGGAGGAGGCGACAGGAGAGGTCTGCCGCGCCATGTGGGTATCTCCCTGGCTGGCTGGGAATCAAACCCGTGTTGCGAGGCTGCAGACAGTTTCATAGCACTGCGCTCAACCCACTGCGCCACTAGGGAGGCCCTCCTTGATGCTTTAAACATGGTGTTTTCAAGTGATCATTGTTACCCTTTCTTTAGACTGATGTGCTTAATTCCTTTTTCTGTCGATGAAAGTTCTGTTCTGTTGATCACCACTTTCTAATCATTCAATCTTTAAACCATGGCTTCCTAACTCTTGCTTTATCACCTAGAGTCAGAGTTTTTAGGTACTATAGGATTCTGTCTGCAGTGTTTGTTGCATCTTTACTGTAAAAAATCTCCTTTTGGTTTTTGTGCCTCCTCCTGTAATCTTCTCTGCTATTGCTATGAAGTCTGGCATTTTTAATGTGTAACTAATAATATAGCACGTATACACATACCCTTCAGAAACTTATTGATAAACTTACTATTTATAACTGACATTTAAGGTCTTTCATAGGATTGCTTTTACATACTTTTCTATTGTTTCTTTTTTTTAAAGATTTATTTATGCATATAAGAGCTGGGGTACAGGCCAGAGGTGTGGGGGTTGAGAGGACCCACCAGAGACAGAGTGGGGAGCAGGACAGGTGGATCTACTGAAATACACTGTTGAGGGGAGCAGTGGGCAAGATAGGAGAGGACTGCTGCGCCGTGTGGGTAGTTCCCTGGCCAGAGATTGAACTCGTGCTGCAGTGGCTGCTAATAGTTTCATAGTGCTGGGACTTAACCCCTTGCACCACCAGGGAGGCCTTCATTTCTCTTTCTTATGTCTCTTTTTCCTCGCCCTCACTAACTTGGTGTATCTGTCCAGGTACCACCAAGGTTGACTTTATTAGCCATTGTCTGCCAGGTAGAACATTGGCTCTTTATTGAGTATTCCTTAGTTTGTTTATTTCATTTGAGGATTTCTCAGTGATATATAATTGGGCTATGCTGAACTTCAGTTGAAATAATTTTGAGTGATATTCAATGACTTATTGATAAACATATTTAAAGAGCTTTTGTGTTTCATTGAGACTGAAAACTAGGGGCATATTTTTGCATAAAAATATTCCTGTTCAAGTTAAAATTTCCTAACAACTAAGTCCAGTACATTCTTAAAGCTTATATGAATCATTTTCTTTGGCCACATGACTATTTCCTTCCAGAGATTTTTTTTTTTTCTCTCCTTGTCTTTTTATAATCTTGTGCTTTCTTTGTTGTTTACCTCTAGCCATTTGTTCATTTTTATTTTCTTTTCCTGATCCCCTCTTAAATGTTCATTCTTCCATACTTGACCTCCTGTTTACACTTTACCTTCTTCTGAAATGATCTCATTCACTATTATTTTTCTAAAACTACCATTTTTGGCTGGTGATTCCCAAATCTACTTTTCCAGCCCTGATCTTTCCACAAAAGGATTCCAATCCATTTCAGTGTCTTGCAGACATGTCTAACTCTTCCTAGCTTATTTTCCTTTGGTGACACTATTATCTCCTCAGTTATCAAAATCAGAATCCCTATCTATTCTTTCCTCCATCCTATATCAAGGCTTGTCAGTTTGATTCTTAGATATGTAGTGCCTGGATTGGCCACTGAGCAGGTTTCTATCATCTAAGCAGACTGGGGTAAAGGAGATTCCTGGAGCCCTCGGTGGGTTTTCCAGGCTTTTATTGACCTTTTACATGTAGTGCAGCAACCAGGTACATGGCAGGCAGGGGTGCCGGGGGGCCTCCAAGCCCCCAGCAAGTCTTCACTCTGGGCTTCTCTCCTATTCCTTCTCCCCGTCTCTCTCCTGCCTTTTTCTTCTGCCTCTGCTTCTCTCCAAGAATATCTCAATAGTGAGCCATGGCCCACAGAAGTAAACAACCCAGCTTACAACAATGTAACAACTGCAGATGCACCATCAGGCAGGGCAATCCTAATGGGAGGGCAGAAAAACCTGAAAACCATTTACCCTATGGATACTTTCATTTCTACCTCCATTTCCATGCCCCCTGTCTCAGTTCAGAACTTCACTTCTTTTCTAATTTTTTCTAATTCCCCGCACTTAAAGTTTCAACTTAAATTTCACTTCCTCTCTGATTTCCAAATTTATCATATTTGTACTTTAGACTGTATCGCTTAGTCATTTTTATTTATTTCCTTTATATATTTAATATTTGTTTCCAACACTAAAATAAGTTTCACAAAGGAAAAGACCCATGTCTGTTTTGGTCATTGTTGTATCTCCAGTGCTAGCACTGAGCTTGACATATAGTAGGTACAAAATAAATAAGTAAAAGTAAGTTTGTTGAATGACTGAATAATATATTTGTAAGAACCCTTTCTGTAGTTTGCATGCCTCCTTAAATCTTTCACACTGCTACCAAAGTAATTTTTCTAAATTGCGGATCTGATCATTTTCCTCCCTTTGCCTTTGGAGAAGTTTAAGTTTTTCAAAATGACACACAGGTTCTGTTCTTCCTAATACACTAGACATCTCTTTTTGTATCCATTGCTCACTATTTGCACTAGGAATATCAAATTACTGGTTTCTAATACAGGTAAGTCCTTTTCTTATGCCTTCGTATACACTATACACCTTGCATAGCTTTTTTACCTTGTCCAAGCATTAACTCCATACTTAATCAATGCCTCTTAAACCTGTCCACATGAATTGTTGGTGAGAAAGAGATAAACATTAAGTTATAATCTATTATATCACTATATATGCTTTGTATTTCAGATTTTGTTAGTGGAGCATTGAATAAACTTATATCTAACAGAACACCCTCTATTACACCTCAGCAGGAAAGAATCAGTAAGTATTATGTTTATTAAAAGGAAAATATATTAGGCAAAAAAGTTATTAAAACAACATACCTAATTTTGGTTTCTGTTTTTGGTGGAGATAGTGCACTAGAATACTATGTTGTGACATTGCCAGTTATATTGGCAATAATGACTGAAAACTGTAGATAAGAGGTTTTTTTGGTCTGTTATATCTTTAATATAAATCATGCTTTCCTGTTCCTTGTAAGTTTGGTGCTATTGAACATATGAAAACAGCTCAATCTCTTTTTTTCTGTTGTATAACCAGAAGCTTATTAATATGCATTCCAATTTTTATCTTTGATTTGCTTATGGCTGAAATTATCCAGCCCAATAATAGACAATGTGATCGTTTGTTTTATTTTCCAGATTGAAAAAATTAATTGGTTAATAGTTATGTAAAAAGCAAAAAATAATCTTTAGATCAGCTTCCTTTCAAACTCTTGACTATAATTTTCTTCCCTATGTTAATATTCTTAAATGTGAGTTATGTACATCTTTTAGTCTATTTGGTTTAATATAGTAGTATTTGTTAAGAATTTTGCCTCATAATTTGTTGTATTACATGTAATAATGTAAACTATATCCTGTTCTTTGCTCAGCTGTAACTAAAATCTTTATAGCAAGAAATTACATAAAGCTTTTATATTTTCAACTCTGTGGGAGAGACAACCAAATGGGTTTTTTGGTTTTTTTTTTTTTTCCCCAGCTCAGGTATCTGTATCACCAGTGATTCTTACACCAAATGCTAAGCGTAAACTGCCAGTAGAGTCTTCTCATGGTTTCTCAAGTAAGAAAAGGAAACCCATCAAGCACAATTTCAACTTTGAATTATTGCCAAGTAATCTCTTCAGTAGCAATTCTACTCCAGTATCAGGTAGCAAACAGACTTTATGTAATTGGGTTGTAAACATTAACATGCGTGGGTAAAGTGTTACTTTATGTAAATACTGTAGAAGCCAGAGCTTTATTCTGTGCTTTTATCAAGTCTCTGAAAATTTTTTTTTTTTTTTTTTTTTTTTTAAGATTTATTTATTTATTTATACATGCACTGGGTACAGTCAGAAGCACGGGAGGGTGAGAGAATTCACCAGAGCCAGAGCAGAGAGCAGAGCAGGCAGAAGGACAGAAGTACACTGCTGAGGGGAGCAGTGGGCGGCAGAAGAGGTCTGCGCGCCTGAAAATTTTTTTTTTTTTTTTTTTTTTTATTTGTTTATTTATTTTTATACATGCACTGGGTACAGTCAGAAGCGCGGGAGGGTGAGAGGATTCACCAGAGCCAGAGCAGGGAGCAGAGCAGGCAGAAGGACCGAAGTACACTGCTGAGGGGAGCAGCGGGCGGCAGGAGAGGTCTGCGCGCCATGTGGGACCCTCCTCCGGTGGCCGGGGAGCAGCCGGGGATCGAACCGGTGCCGCAGAGGCCGCGGGCAGCTTCGCAACCCAGCGCTCAACCGCTGCGCCACTGGGGAGGCCCAAGTCTCTGAAATTTTATTAAGTTTCCTAACTTTGAAAAAAGATAGTGGTTTAGTATAACATGTGTATGTGTATGGCAGCCATGCCTATCTGAAGTTATGAGAAATAACTCAGAGTTTGGGTTTCTATTGATAGTACTAGTGCTAAGGTTTTATATGATTGGATATTCTGAATTCTTGGTTTCTTCTAATCTATAGCCATGGCTATTGCTATCTTCTTTTGAGTTGACGTCAGAAGTTTTATCATCTTGAATCCAGAGTGGATTTAGTAGACCCAGGGATGTTATATTGGAGTAACTATTGTGGGTTGTAGTTGGAAGAGAAGGGTATCTTTAAAGTTTTATCCTCAAGTAGCTTTTATGAAAAACTTTGTTTATACTATCCTCATGGCATGGTCTCCAAAACCTTACCAGTCCCATTATTTCCTTCCAAATGAACAAATTCCTAATGTGCCTGGCTGCAGCCTTCAGAGAATAATATAATCATGTTGATTTAAATACCAGATTTTTGTTAGTGTGATCTTACATTGAGTTGGCTCCTATTGGCTCATAATAACCTTATGGTCAACCCAAAATGAATAAAACCCTGGCTAATCCCAGCATGCTCCATCTTACTGTTTAATGAAAATGTGAGTGCTCTCTAATCCCTTTAGATTTTTATTGGTTTCAGGCAATGTGAAGAGTTTCCTTTTGAATTTGTTAGCTGGGTTTATGAGAGCTTATTCCCAAAAGCCTCTCTTTGGTTTCTGTTAAAAGATTGATGCTTCCCTTGATTTTTTTTTTTTAAATTGAAACATTGAACAGAATAGCAATTTGTTCTCTTGATCATTCATAGGATCATCACGTGTGAAGAATCACACGTGATGACTCTGTTCATTAAAAGGAACTGTTTTCAGATTTCCATATTAAGAGACTGAAGACTTCAACGCCTATAAATTAGCAAGTTCAGCATAGTAGTATTTTAGTCACCATTCTTCTTTGAAGCTACTTTCTCAGCCACAATTCAATAAATTCCATCTGCAAAATTGAAAATGGCTTGGTTTCTGTTTGGATTATCATAGATAATGTTGCTTTTTTAAAATGTAAACATAATTTTAATCTATAACTTGTAAAGTACCTACTGATAAGTATTTTCTTATTTGTGTGATCACTTTGTGTTCTATATATGCTCGCTATTCCTCATTGTGACCACTGCACATTTTCAAGGTGACTAGATTGCAGCTATAGAATAAAGCTGCCTTTGTTACATTAAATACATTATTTTGACCTCCAAAATTTTCTTCAGCCAAATGCATCTTTTTTTCCTACATGAATTCTTTATCAGTATTAATAAGTTGGGAGGGTTCTTAATGATTGTATGTATCCTGGGCACGATTCAAATATAAGTCAAATATATGTGGAACCTTTGTAACTATTTTACTTTTCCCTTCATTTTTATTGTAGTCAGTGTCATGATAGTGTGTTAAATAACTTAAAATAAATGAGTCATAACCATCAGTTGTTAGCATGGAGCCATGGAACATGGCAGAAGCTAAGTGGATAGGTATGTGTTATAATTAGTTTTGCTTGTTTGCCAAAAATATTGGGCAAATTATACTCTAGAGCCAGGTGGACAGCAGTTGGTGGCACTGGATTTTCCAACTTTAGAAAGTGTTTCGATGCTTTATTTTTGTTAATTGCATTTTAATACTACATACCAGGTACTGTTCTGGACCATTTATATACACTACAGTAATTCATCACAAAAGTTCATTTTCAGAACCTAAAGCCTTTTTATTAAGTGGTGGGACAACCTTGAGTCTGTCTGTCAAAAGCTTGTTCTTTCTCCAGTCTGCAGCAGCTCTTGTAGTACTAAGAGTTTAAAGCAAACTAAAAATAATGTTTAATCTGACTTTTACTTGTCAACTAAAGAACAAGCTATCAATGCTTTCATTTTTAAGTTGAGTGGGAATATTTTGCCCCAGAAGTTTCTAGCCCGAAATGTGATTTTGGTTTAGTTTAGGCTAGAAATTGAGACTTTCAGTCTAACTGCTATTAATATCTTCAACTTTGGAAAGAAAATATGTGTGGCATATTACATGTGGTTATTTTTATAGTTCACCTTGATACAAGCTCAGAAGGGTCATCTCAGAGCTCACTCTCTCCTATAGTCATCGGTGGAAACCATTTGATCAGTACAGGTGTGCTAAGGCGAAGTAAAAGGATTGCGAATAAAAAAGTTTGCAGGTAATTTATGCAGGACACTTTTTGTTTTTGTTGGATAAATATTTGGTTCACATATATGGTTGATAAAATATTTTGTCTTTTTACTGAAAATATTTGAATCATAATTGTTAAAGATACCTCCCCCTTTATGATCTATGCTATTCAGACTTTAGTTTCCAGAGAAAGATTTTTTGTGTTCACTTTGCTTAAAATCCTACTTAACATGGATAATGTGTAATTTTGAAATTTCCTGTTAATTTACAAAGCTAGTCTAATGATTTCGTCACTAACTTTGTGACAAATAGGAAAAATTAATTTTATGTACAAATAACAATATATTCATATGTCATATCTTCAAGTTAATCTATTTTTAGAAAATCATTATTCTGTCTAGTTGCTAGTAATATGATTTTCCCTGGATGTTCTCAAAATTTTCATTTTTCAACATTTTCTCTAGTTTTTCTGTTATAAATTGACATTTTTAATTCCATTCTTTTTAGGGTAGAATCAGGAAAAACAGGCTGCTTTTCTCCTAAAGTCAGTCGTAAAGAAAAGGTTCGAAGATCTCTTCGTTTGAAATTTAGTTTGGGGAGAAGTAGCAAAGATGTAGTAAGTGTCTTTCACCATTTCATTGATATTACATTGGCATAAAGCTATAGACTTACTGCTAAAAGACCTTCTCAGTCTCCCTTCCCCACCAACACTGTCTTCTTTTATTTTTTTGTCCTATTCTCTTTATACCAGAACCTTGAGTTGATATCTACAGTTCTTCCATTTTTATTTTACTTATTTCAATTCAGTGTGACTTTGATCCCCCAAGTCTAATGCAACTACTCTCATCAAGATCACCCATAAAATTCAGTTGCTCAAACCAGGAGACAAGTATCAATCCTTGTTTCTCTTGACCTGCCAGCGGCTTTTGACATCACTAATCACATGCTCCTCTTTGGAATACTTGCTCTCCTTGCTTGAAGAACTCTGCATTCTCATGATTTTCTTCCTCCTTTTCTGGTTTCTTTTTTAATTCTTTTGCATCAGAGTGCCCAGAACTTTGTCCTTATAAAGGGTGGAGGTCCTTGTACTTCTCTCTTCTCTCTATTCACACAAGGTGGCCCTTGGCTTTAAATGTTAAATATTTATTTAAGACTTCCACGTTTATATCTCCAGCCCACGCTGCTCTCCTGAACATCTTGATTATCTCTTAACATCTTCTAACTTGACTTCTCCACTTGGATGTTAACCTAATGGATAGCTCCAAGTAACCTGCCCCAAATAGAGCTCCCAAGGTGCATTTCTTTGCTGTTGCTGCTTCTCCGCTTCTCACCTCTCACAATCACCATTCTACCTGTGATCTTCACCATCTCGTTTTTCCACGTAAACCATGCAGGCATTCTTCACTTATCACTTTCTGTCACATGCCCTGTCTAAACCATTAGGAGGTCTTGTCTCACTCTGTGTTCAGAGTATGTCCAGACTGACCAATTCTCAATGGAACTGCCTTTCCAACCATCTCTAAGCTCTGTGATCTTAAACCTGGGTTACTATAATGAGCGTTCCCTGATAGTTCTGCCTTGCTGCACTGCTGCAGCTAAATTTTCATAACCAATTAAGTCATGGTGCTTCTCTGCTCAGAACCCTCACGTGATTTCTCATTTTACTCTGTGAAAAGGCTAGAGTTCCTCCATTGACCCTACAGTATTCCCTATGGGCCACATCTACTTTTGCCTCCTTGCTGTTTGTCAAATGTGCCTCTCTCTGAATGTTCTTTCCCCTTTTACCTTACAGTTCTCACCCTATTTTTCTTTAGTCACAGGACATCTTCTGATCACTCTTTTTAAAATACACCTCCAGTGTCTCCCTGGTGGCACAAGGGGTTAAGTCTCGGCACTATCAAGCTATATGGCAGCCACTGTGGCCTGAGTTCTAGCCCTAGCCAGGGAGCTACCCACATGGCGCAGCAGACCTCCCCTGTCTCGCCCACTAGACCCGCCTGTTTTGCTCCCCACTCTGTCTCTGGTGAATCCTCTCAACGCCTACACCCCAGTTCTTGTATGCGTTAAAAAAAAATTATACCTCCACCCCTTACAGTTCCTTGATTATTCTTACCCTACTTCATTTTTCTCCATGATACTTTTTACCTTATATATTGTATATTATGCAATGTGATTCTGTTTATCTTGTTTTGGTCTGAATCTTCCCATCTAGAATATAAATTTCATGAGGGTAAGGGGTGTTTAGTTTGTTTTTCCTTTTTACTACCATAAATAGGCCCTGGCACAGAATCATCACACACACAAAAAAATGTTTAATGACTATGTGAGACTTTTTATTTTATACCTTTAAATACTCACTAATAGCAAGGTCAAATGCTTACAGTTTTCATTAGCATGCATGCAAATATATTTTTGTTTGCTATAAAATTGTTTCTCAATTTTATATACCATTTTTAATCAGCTGTAGAGGATTTTTAAAAGTATAAAAATTTTACTTTGTCTTAATATTTTTAATTAACTAATTTTATTTCTTAACCAAAACTTTTTCCATTTTTCTTTTCTTTGCAGAATGAGTGTTCTGGTATCAAGAGACATGAAAATGTTGGTCGACGACTTGCAAATCAACAAAATTTAAAAAATAGAATTGAATGTGTAAAAACCGGTCTACTTTTTAGCCCAGATATTGATGAAAGATTAACAAAGAAAGGTACGTTTATATGGTATTGTTAGAACTTTATTTATAAAGCCTACTTTTGGTGCTTTTTTAATGGTAAAATGTGCTAAATAATTTACTGTTCTGGAAATTTAAAATGCATGTTTCTCTAATGTAATTATTTGAATTAGCAATATGTTTTTCTATAAACATTTAGAGGATGCTTATAAATGTAAATATAAAAATGTTTGACATGTTTATTTAAAAAATTAATTCTTTAACAAATCTTTTTATTGAGATTAAGTGCTTAGTATCTTCATTTGCTGTGTGGTTGGATAATATTTCAAAACTGGTTCAAATATAAATACTTAAAGACTGAACTGCTTTCTTTTAGATTCAAAAAAGATCAGTAAGTCTGAGGAAAACTTACTAACTCCAGAGCGACTTGATGGAACAAGTTACCGGATGTCTTGGGCAGGACCTAGTAATTCAAATTTTCAAGAAATAGATGTAAATGAAGCTTCTCCAGTAGAGGCAAGTTGTGACACGGAGAACTCTTTGGAGCCTGATAGTATGATTGAAAAGTCACCTGTTAGTTCATATGATCTCACTCCTAATATATTCAATAAGCATAATAACAACTTAACTGGAGGCTCTCTTAGTGGGGAAGGAAATAACTTGACCACAGAGACTTTGGAGAAAATTCAGAAAGCATTTTCTGAATCTGGAAGTGATCTTCATACATTGATAAATCATAGGGAGTCATCAGTAACTAATGTAGGGCAAGTAAAATTAAATGAAACCTGTTCTATAGAATATAGCCCAGAGAAAAATTTATTTGAAACTAATGATTTGACTGTTATAGAATCAAATGAATGCCATACTAGCACACATGAAAATAGTTTTTCAGAAAGAAATTTATCATTACATCAGACTCAAAAATTGGATGGAGAAACAATTATGAAATGTTACCCAACTCAGATGAATATGGAAAATGACAATAGCATTCATGCAGATAGACCAAAAGATAATTTAAGCAAGCAAGAATGGCCTATCGATGAACAAATGAAACAGCAGTCCCCAGCAGATAAACTAAATCCTACATTAAAGAAGACTGAGGATATAATTGAAGAGAACTTTCTGCAATGTGCAACTTCTAGGGAGGATGAGGATGCAGCTAAGACCACTTCTGTAGAGCAGATTACATGTAACAGAACCAACTTGTCAAAACCTAGGCTTGTGAGAATTGTTAAACAGCAGTCATTGATGGAAAGAGGGGATAAAACGGTTTCTGAAAGTTTACGAGTGACAGAGCATGGTAAGGTTTCAGACCATATACAGTGGTTTAACAAGCTTTCTTTAAACGAACCAAATAGGACAAAGGTTAAGTCACCCCTTAAGTTTCAACGTACACCTGTCCGTCAGTCTGTCAGAAGAATTAATTCTTTGTTGGAGTATAACAGACAGCCAGTAAGGCGTAAATTGACAAGTCTCGGTGATGCTGCTTCTCCCCTGGTTAAAGCAGTAAGCTGTGATAGTGCTCTTCCCACTTGTGTAGAAGGTGCTTCAAAAGATTCCTCCAAGTCAAGTCCTAAAGAACAGAAAATTACATCATATGAACTGTCAAATGTTGATTCAATTTCAAAATCGAGCATGGACTTGACTTCTAACTCTTTCTCAAAGATGAAGAGACACCCAAACTCCATGAATGCTACTCTTGGGTCTACCAGAGTTTGTAAACAAGAAGTGGTAACGGATGGTCAAATTAAGTTTCCCTTGGATGATCTGACAAATCATGATATATTGAAATCTGTTGTAAATAATAATAGGGGTGTTTCTCCTGGGATGAATCACAAGGTCCTTAGGAAACCATCAGAAAGAGAGAGGATCTGGTATAAAGGCTCTCCAAATAATCCTATTGGAAAAGTTCAACTACTACCAACAAGTAAACCTGTAGACTTGTAGTTGGTAGATATTTTACTTGTTATTAGTGTAAATAGAACTAGCAATTAGTGGTATGACTTGCAGGATAATCTACCTGTTAGTTTGTAGCTCAGGATGATTGTTACATGATTTTTATTTCATAGCACAAGCGATAGAGATTTCTATACTTGAATAAATGACTGCTTTTTGTTAATTGTGGCAGTATTTGAACTTTTAAATTCTATTTAAATTTTATCTCAAAAAACTGAGGTTATACTTTACCTTTTTAAAGGAATTGTTGACTGGGTTTATAGAAATTTATTTTTGAAAATTAAGAATTTATTTTTTAAGTGTGGTAGGAAGAGTGGAATGAGTTTTGCCTATTTGCTGTTATTTCTCCTAAATCAGATTAAGTTTCTCTGAGAAATTTCCCGCATGTAATTGGAAGAGATAACCCAGCAAATCTCATTTCTTGAGTTACATTAATGGTTTTTACCAGAATCCCCAGAAATTAATTTGCTTCAGTAGCCTCAATTCTTTATTCCTATTTGGGGCAGAATAATTAAGTTTTTATTGCCTGTAGAAGTGTGCAGTACATTCACTTGAATATTTGAAGCAGAAGAATGACTCAAGTGTTGTGTTCATGTAATATGAAGCTGCAGAAGGAATTGATGACTTTTAAGCCATATTATGTTTTTAAACAAATACATTATGTTTGCACAAATACATTTGCATCTGTTTTGTCCAATGTAGAATTTTAATTATTTAAGGAGGAATAATTAAATGAAAAATTTTAATAAGGTGATTTCTTATATGCAGATGCTTGATTTTAAAATGTGTAATAGTGATGCATCTATGTACATTTAACTTGGATTCTTAAGCTTTAGAGTCTTATAAAAAGCCCATGATGATGTTGTCTTGTGTATAATGTTATTTATTTAGCATAGACATTAAAAGTAACTTTATGGAAAGTGACTTGCCTAAGACTCTAATGAAATTATAGTACCTTTTAGAATTTGATTCAAATTGTCAAGCAAATCTATCTAAATTTATATTAGAGTATTAGAAATTGCCAATCTTTAAGGAAAAAATATCATCAATAGAGGGTATTCTTTACATATTAGAGGACAGAATATGCAGAATATGCAGGCAGACAGAACTACTGAAGATGGCTTTGCAGGCCAGTTATTAAAATGTCACATTGAGATGTTGGAGCAGAATAATGTTGCACACCTACTCAGTTGTCACACAGCAATCAGACGTGTATGTGTAATTTCAAGTAATCAGACAAATACTACTTGTTAGTTCTACTTGCTAGTGCATTTATTTTATAGCTTTTCCTGTTTCTGTATTCATTACCTAGAAATCAGCCCTTTCTCAAAACTAATATTTGACCTCTATAAAGATTAAAAATCTGTAGATATGAATAACATGTTTATCTGATATAACAGGTTTATAATATAAACAATGTGTTCCAGATATTTCTAGAGATTGAAAATATTCATGGTACAGATAGAAGATATTCATAAACTCTAAGATACGTATTGTCTGGTTCAAAGTAATTTTTTTAACTTTTAAAATAATGTCCTTTTATGTCCATGGGAATTGGGGTGGGCATGAAATGTTGCATTGGAAGGTTAATTAAGAAGGCATTGGAAATTTAACTGCACAAGCCTGACTTACTGACTTTTCTGGGAGGTTACCAGTAACAGTATTTTTTTTTTTAATCACCATCTGTCACTCCCACTGTTGTGAGCGTGAAGTTTATACAGATTTAGTGCAAAATTTTAAAAGTGAATAGCTTAGAAGTGTGTTAATTGGGAAGTCAGGAAATTTAAATTTACTCCCGATTTAGTTCAGTTTTTGTATGGGAGTGGAAATTTGATCAATCGTCTACATATAAACATACGTAACAAAGCTATGGGTGCCTAGGATGTGCAGAAAGCTTATTTTCACTTTGTTACAAGTATAAAAAAGGATTTAATATTAACTATCATAAGCAACAATAGAATTAATTGGCTTGGCAACATTCTCTAATCACTAAGAAGTTAATAGGATTTTGATAATCATCAAGGCCCAAGGTGTATAGGATAGATGCTTTAAAATGATGAAATTTCATATGAAATATACTTTTATGTGTTTCAGTTCTCCAGTCAGCACAAAAAGTAAATTGTTATGATTTTGCCACTTTCCCAAGAACAAAATAAAGGTAGCAAATGACAACGTTAAAGCAAAATTCAGAATTGGAAAAATACCTTAATTTGTGCAAATAATAAATATTGATCCCCAGCATGATCTTTGAGTCTAGAGCCAATAGATAGTACCTTATCCTGTTGATTTAGCACGAATTAAGCAAAAAGCTGTGAACAAGAATACCATGGAAGAAAAAGCACCAGGAAGGACGTTTGGCTTTAAACCAAAAGGCACATACAGCCTTTCGTGTCTTAAATTTTGCGGACCCATCTTCATTGCATAAAATTTCTGTAGCTGATGATAGATTTGAAGCTTACAAAGATCTGTATTCTAACCTGAGACTGAAACACTTTACTCGTCCTTAAGTCTTACAATCTGTATTTAATGTATGACTACATTTCAGTTTTTGTATTTAAACAAAATTCAAATGTTCAAGGTTGCACATAGGTGCTCTATAAAAAAAAAAGTGGTTCTCCCTCAGCAGTGTACTTCGGTCCTTCTGCCTGCTCTGCTCCCCGCTCTGGCTCTGGTGAATCCTCTCACCCTCCCGTGCTTCTGACTGTACCCAGCGCATGTATAAACAAAACAAACAAACAAATAAATAAATAAAACATGCCTCTATTAAAAAAAAAAAAGTGGTTCTACCTGGATAAATTTCTACAATGTGCTAATTAATGTGGTTTCTCTTCAGAGTAAGGAAATTTTGCTTGCTAGTTGGTGTGGAAGTTTGTTTTTTTTTAAGATTTATTTATTCATGCATACAAGAACCAGGGTACAGGTCAGATGTGCGGGAGGGTGAGAGGATCCACCAGAGACAGAGTGGGGAACAGAACAAGCAGAGTGACTGAAAGACACTGCTGAGGGGAGCAGCAGGTGAGTCATGAGAGGTCTGCGGCGCCATGTGGGATTCTCACCAGCCGGCTGGGATCGAACCCACGCTGCAGAGGCTGTGAACAGCCTCACGGGGCTGTGCTCAGCTGCCTGCACTGCCAGGGAGGCCCTGGTGTGGAAGTTGAATAACAACTAATATTCCTAGAGGTTTTCATGTGCTCTTGGTGTATCACTAACAGGCGTTTCCTATATATTAAACACCCCCACAGTCTTCCTGCTCAATGCAGGGGCCCTTGAAATCACCCTTAGATGTTTCCTGTCATCACCATCACTAAAAGTTCTTAGGATCTCTTCATTTTTGTCTTACATTGCACCATTGCCCCTTCCTTCTTCATAATAGAAGATTAAGAAAAGAAAACGCTACGGGGTGGGGGGAGATTGGCGGCAACATTTAAAATGTGGATCTGCAAGAAGGTGTGGTGCATATACACCATGGAATATTACTCAGCAATCAGAAAAGATAAACTCATGCCGTTTGTAGCCACATGGATGGAGCTGGAAGGGATCATGCTCAACGAAATAAGGCAGAAAGAAAATGAAAAACACTGGATGGTCTCATTCATAGCAGGAATCTAGAAAACCTAAATAAGGGACCAGGAAAAGACTAATTATAATAAAGTAAAAATCAAAATCAGCAAGCAACTATAAACTAGAGACACACTACGGGGGAGTCAGGGGGTGTGGGAGGTACGGAAGGATTAGGGTCAAAACAAGGAGGGTGGGAATTGTATGGGGAATATAACCAAGGAGAAAATGCCTACATTGTGCAAAAATGAAAAATGATGTAAGAAATATATAAAATAAATAAAATGTGGATCTGGGGCGAAGGACAGAAGTGGCAATCTGACATATCTGGATAATTGCTTTAGAAAAGGTGGGGTGTGGGGCGAGGAGAGGAAGGATTAGGGTCAAAATAAGGGGGTGCAATTGTATGGGGACTATAACCAAGATGAAAATGCATACACTGTGCAAAAATGAAAGATGTAAGAATTATATAAAATATATTTAAAAAAAAAAAAAAGGAAAAGGTGGGATGTGCAACTGGAATCGCGGGAGGAACGCGACTGGTTTCGGGGCACCCCTAAGCACCGGCCGGCGTCCTGCCGCGGCCTGCACCTGCCGGGGGCGGGGCGGGGCGGGGCGGGGCGGGGCGGGGTGCGGAGGGGTGACGCGCCAGCCCGCCCCCCACGCGCCGCGCGACCCCGCGAGCCCCGCCGCCGCCGCGCCCCGGCTGCCCTTGGTGAGTCTCGCGCCGCGGCCCCGGCGCCCCCCTAGGTCGGGGGGTTCTGGCGGGGGGCGGGGGTGTGCAGGCCTGAAATCCTGGGAGTAGACAAAGGACGGGTGGGGGCGAGCAGGTTCAGCCAGAAATAGGGGGGAGAGGGGCGGGAAGGAGATGGGGTCGCTCGTGGAACCCCAGCGGCGCCGGCCGGGGCGCGGACGGGCCGGGAAACGTCCCAGCGGCCGCGGGGGATGGAGCGGCCGGGGCTGCCTCCCGCCCCTGCTCTCAGGACCGCGGGCGCGGCTGCCTCGGTGCCTTGAGGCGCCAGGGCAGCTAGGAAAAAAAAATCTTTGGCAGGAAAATAAGCTTCTCAAAATACCCGTTTTCGGGAATGAATTGCACGCCCCGAAGCGCCCACCCCACAATGGCAGAACAGGCCAGAGCAGGCGCCACCCCGCTGCCGGGAGCGCCCCCACCAGCAGCTCCCCAGCTGCAGAGGGAAGCTGGGTGGATATTGCAGACCTCTGAGCATGGACACCCCGGGCTCGTGCTTACCCCACTCTCGCCTGTTCTGGCTTCCCCATCGCTGCCCAAATGCCAGCCTCCAGATCCCCGGTGGTATGGCCATCATACTAGCCACACAGGGGGGCTGGCATTGTGTTGCGCCCTGTTTCGTGTGTTCCCACACTTGGCCTCACAGCAGCCTTTCAGGAGTCCGTGCGTTCTGCAGAGGAAGAAGCTGAGGCATTTGCTCAGGATTATCCAGCGGGTGCTTGGTGGAGCGAGGTGCCTCATCTCCCCTGCAGGCTGCCTGCTGGCCTGCGCTGGGTGTTTTCATCTGCTCAGGATCTCAAAAGTGTTCATTAAGCTAGCTAAAATCTTCTCTCCCCTCCATTGCTAACCTTCCCCTTCTTATCTGCCATTTGTGTCTTCCTGTCTCCTTCCTGTGAGTCTTGTTGTCCTCCAAGATGTCACGCTTCCCCTTCCTTTCTCAAAATTGAAGCAGGTTTTTACTGTTTGTTTTTAAAAGGAGGGAGAAAGCCATGGGATTAGGGGTACTGCAGAACTCTCAGGGACCTGCAAGGATAAGAATGAGTGAGCACTGCCACTCCAGTCTAGTCTTTCCGAGAACGCTCATCAGAGGGAATTGGATTTGTAGGACAAAACTGCACAAAATTTGTACAAAACAGTCCCAGACCTGTTTTTACGCCTTCCACAGCCAGCAGGGCATCTTTGGGATTTTTCATTGCTGTCCCTTTCTGGGTGGTCTCCCTGGAGGGATTGCTCGATGCATCATCACAGTTGCCAATTGTCACCCAGCAGTGGTGTTTTCCTGCAGGTTAAAATGGTCTCCAGGATGGTCTCCGCCATGCTGTCTGGCCTACTGTTTTGGCTGACATTTGGATGCACCCCAACATCTGCTTATAGCCCAAGGACCCCTGACCGGGTCTCAGAAACAGATATCCAGAGGTTGCTTCATGGCGTGATGGAGCAACTGGGCATCGCCAGGCCCCGGGTTGAATATCCAGCGCACCAGGCCCTGAATGTTGTGGGCCCACAGAGCATTGAAGGTATTTGCTGCATTCTGCCAGTTTCCATTAGCTCTTTAAGTAATTAATGCATACTGAAGCCACTCTGCTTCCTCCCTCTGTTTTCCCTTTTTTTTTTTTTTTAAAAAAAAAAGATTTATTTATGCATACAAGAACTGGGGTACAGGCCAGAGATGCAGGGTTGGGGGTGGGGGTGAGAGGATTCACCAGAGACAGAGCAGGGAACAGAACAGGCAGACTGACCAAAGTACACTGCTGAGGGGAGCAGCGGGCGAGTCAGGAGAGGTCTGCTGCGCCATGTGGGTAGCTCCCTGGCTGGCCTGGGATCGAACTTGTGCTGCAGAGGCTGAGGATCGCTTCATAGTGTGGTGCTTAACCCCCTGTGCCACCAGGGAGATCCCTGTTTCCCCTTCATATCCTACACGGTATTTACCTGCCCCCATCCACGTGAGGATGGAAGTGCTGTAAGAGCAGGCAGTTTGTCTGACTGCAGCCCAAGCCCCTAGCACAAAGTCCTGTACATTAATATTTATTGTTGCCTCTGATATTTATATTGATTGAGTGAAAAAAGAAGTATCTAGGGTTTTCCCTAAAAACAGATTAGAACCCAGATCCACATCTTCTCCCAGAATGATCTTTGGGGAGTCGTGTTCCTTGACTAGCTGTCAGTTAGTGGTTGTAAAAGATTGTCAAAATGTAGAAACTACAGGAGCATCATCTAAGGGATGATGCTTTATCTGACCAAGAGGAGAAAAAAAGAGGTTCTGACACTGAGTTTGTGTCAAAAGCTTTTAAAAATATTTCTAAATCTAACAAATATTAATTGAATTGTTTTAAGTTGGTGAGACCATGCCCCCTAATTTTTTCTAAGTCCACAATTTTTTCTATGTGCTTGTAACCCTTTTCTCAGAAAGCACTGCTCAGTGGTTTAATGATTTCGTTCTGGAGAGACTCTGAATTTAGCTCTTAGAGGTGGTGAGTGTATCACTGTTGGAGCAGCTGCTTTATTCCATGCCTTGTTTTGTATCCTCTTAGACCCTGGATGATTTTCTTCTTCATTGAGGGGGGAGTTCTAAAGCGGTAATAGGATGAATTAAGTCTGAATGCATGAGATCCCTTCAAGTGTTTGCCCTTGGGTGTGAGTCTTGAGGGAAAATGTGAATTCTTTCTCTGCTATTCTTAAAACACCCACCCAGCAAATGCTATTCCCTGTGGGTTGTGGATCAGTCTGCTTGAGTCCGTGATGTTCTGGTAATGCCATCTTTCCTGGAGTCTTATGGACACCATAGATATTGTTAATATATGGTTTCCATTTGATTGCCCTTTGTTTCATGCCACTGAATAAAACTAATATTTGGGTCTGTGGTCTATGTACATTGACCTTTGGTTTCAGGAATGGATGCCCACAGATCACTAGCATCAGCAAGCATGCAGTGCTAGCCTAGGCTTGCTTCTGAACAATCAGGCAGGACTTTGTGCCACCCTTTTGAGGATAACCTAAATCCGGGCAGCACCTGCCACCTGTTACCTCAAGCACACCCATCCATTTCTGACCAGCTCTTTAGAGACAGGAAATATCTGCCCTTTTAATGATGCAAATGCTGGTTACTCACCCAGCTGTTGTCATGGAGAAGGCTTTCCGAGTCTCCGTTAATTCCCAAGGCCTGATCATCTGTGTGGAAAAGAAGCAACTGCCTAACCATCACGAGCAGAGGTTTAATTGAGGCCTCGTTTCCTTCCCCTGGTACCAAATATTTGTTTAGCACTGACTCTACGCCAGGCAGGGTGCGGGAGTCAGGGGCAGCACAGCCCTCAGAGTCAAGGTCTGGGGATGGAAGAATCGGGGCAGGGTTATTACAGGGTAACGTGCGAGTTAGATGGTAGATGCTCAGATGGGAAGTTGCCGTGGAAGCCGAGCTTGGGATGGAGGGGTGGTGGCTATAAGGAACTGCTTCTTTGAAGATGCCATATTGGACTTGGGTTTTGATATTTGAATAGGAATTTATCAGAATGGCAAATAGAAAGGCATGAAGTGTAGGAGAGCATGCATTAAGACAATGCAAAATTAAAAACTCTGTTCCCATTGTTACCCTCGGGGCAATAGGAGGTCATAGCCATGTCTCCTGAAATAGTGGCTGTGGAAGGGGTAAATCTTGCTTGCGTTTTCATTTTTTATCATGGCGTAGAATACACTACCCATTTATTTTGTCTCAGTTTCCACCCATCCGAAGACAGTTTCTCAGTCTCACCAGGCTGAAGTCCGGTTGTTGGCCAGAGAGGCAGTCCTGGCCGGGCTCCAGGCCCTCCAAGCTCAGGAAGGTTACTGTCAGAGGTCAGTTTCTTAATGTTGTAGGTCTGTGGCCCTCCTTTTGTCTTGCTGGCTGTATGAGGGATCCCTCTTGGCTCTAAGAGCCCCCTCAAGTTGTAAGCCACGTGTCCTTTCTGCTTCCTCGAAGCCAGAGAGGGAATGTCCCTCTAGTCTGCTCATTACAGTGTCATGCAGTCGTGCAGAGACTATACCACCCCCTCTGTCTGTGGAGGCGTCTGTATCCCTCTGGCTTCACAGGTGTCACCCCTACTCAAAGGCAGAGGATCACGCAGGGCATGTACACCAGGCTGGGGCTCCTGGGGGTCATTTAGAATTCTGTCTCTGATAGCTTGGATGAATGCTCACAAAAAATAATCCAAAGACTGGGGGCAAAAAAACCAGGAAGAAATCTGAGTTTTCCCCCAGGCCTGGACCTTGGCATTTAATGTGTTAGGTGGTCTAATAGATGTTCATGTGAATATAGCATCTTTTCAATTCCCATTTATTTATCTGGTTTCTGTGCAGACTTCGCTCATGCTAGTTCCAGAGCTTCTATGTAACTAAGCCCCTTCTGACAGGTACATTTTGTGCCTTCTCCAACATTTATTTTAAGATTTTGTTAGGAAGGAACAAATTAGAATATTTTATTCTAAGTTTTATAGAACGAATACACATAACACATGTACCTGGTATGAATTTTAATACGCATTTAACCTGGACTCTTCCTAAAAGGCTGGATTTAAATGCACACCCCATCATTTATTCGGGTTATGAACAAATTGTCTAAGAGCTAATCTTTCACTCAGCTTGGGCGTAGGATTTACTTACCTGCAGGCAGGTAATATGTCGGGTCAGAGAAACAAGAATGAAGTGTTAGTATGAGTGACCGGAGTGCTGTGAAATCACTTCCACATGAGTCCGCACATCCTTCTAGATGGCAGTCGCTGGACTCTGGGTTCTTTCTGGGCAGGGCTGTTCACTGCCTGGTAAATGGCACAGAGAAGACAATTAGCTCATTTATTTTCTATTCTCATATATTAATTATATGATCCTTAGATTTTATTGATTTCATTATGAAGATCTATATTACCTCTCAAATATAGGATTATAAACTTGCTTTCTCATAGAGAGCATAGTAGAAGCAACATTTGCCTCCCCACAGCCTGCCTCTTTGGCATAAGACTTATTTTAGATTGTTATTTTTAAGAAACTGTAATAGACATAGGACAAGCTCTGAACTGAGTCAGAATTACCCCTTTATAAGAAATATTTACATATATGAAGGAACCCTCCCTTTGAAAGGGTGCCTCCCGCTGCACCTGTCGTGGGAAGAGGAGTGTGACCAATTCTCATCTCTTGTCAGTGGAGAAGGCAGTTATCAGTGATGTCCTTCTTGGTAACCTCCCTCCACGCCCCCACGCCAGCATTACTTGTCGTTAGCTGAAGATGTTATTTAAGGTGATGGCTCAGACCATTCCAGTCAAGTACACACGCCTCCTAGGTCTCACCCATGTATAAATGATATATATGAATTATGAAGCTTCTGTTTGTTTCTCTTCCATCCCTACCTCTGCCATTATGTCATGTACGTCCTCTATCTTAAGGAGTAATTTACAACATTTCTCCTTTGATCTCATGTTCCTTCTAGTTGCTTTTCTTTTTCTTTTTCAAAAGATTTATTTATTTTATACATACAAGAACTGGGGTACAGGCCAGAGGTGAGGGGGGGGGGTGAGAGGATTCACCAGAGACAGAGCAGGAGCAGAAGAGGTGGACCGACCAAGACACACTGCTGAGAGGAGCATTGGGCGAGTCAAGAGAGGTCTGCTGTGCCATGTGGGTAGCTCCCCGGCCAGTCAGGGATCGAACTCATGCTGCAGTGGCTGCAGATCGCTTCACAGTGCTGAGACTTAACCCCTTATGCCACCAGGAAGGCCCATAGCAACTTGACACCTTTGATTACACTTCCTCCACTCCTTTTTTCTTGTAACCCGTTGTGGTCCACTGTTCCCACCACTCCTTTGTCAAGTCAACAAGTATTTCTTGAGTGTTTTGGGTACCAAGGAAATAAACATGAGCCTCATGGACTGCCAGAGCAGAAGAGAGAGAATCCTCAAATAAATAAGTAAATAATAAGTCCAAGTTATACGTGCTATAATAAAGCAAAGGAGGGGGCAGAGGAAACCATTTAACATACAGGGTGGAATTCCTGAGTCAGCTAAGCAAAAACCTGAGGTTGAGAGGGCCTTCCCGGTGGCACGGGGGTTGTAGTCTCAGCGCCATAAAGCTATCACCAGCCACTGCAGCACGAGTTCGATCCCTGGCCAGGGAGCTACCCACATGGCACAGCAGACCTCTCCTAACTCTCCTGCTGCTCCCCGCGGCAGTGTATTTCAGTAGATCCACCTCTTCTGCTCCCCACTCTGTCTCTAGTGAATCTTCTTACCCACCGCAGGCCTACACCCCAGTTCTTCTATGCAAAAAACAAAAACCAAAATATAACCTGAAGGTTGAGTGAGCTGCATGGTCTGTGCAGGAAGACATTCCAGCAGAGAGACAGCAAGTGCCAGCGCTGGAAGGTGGGAGCAAGGAGGCCAGTGTGGCTGACTCCCAAGGCCAGGGAGATAGATCGAGAGACAGGTCAGGGCAGGAAGGGGTAGTGGGAGGCTGGTGTGGGGACAGATCATGTAAGGTCTTACAGCCTATGAGGACT